TGCTGGGCCGTGAGGTCCTGACACCCCATTGTGATGCTGGGCCGGGCCACAGGCACTGCTGCGCAGCGGTCCTGACGGCAGCACTAGCTGCAGCTGCAGCGGTGGTGGTGGAAGCATGGTGCGAGTGTGGGGAGCCACGGCCCGTGCCTGCCTCTTCTTCCTCCTCCTGGTGGCCCTGTGTGCCCGGGGTGCCCAGGCTGCGCCATGGCAACCACCGGGAGCAGGTGGGTGGACAGGGCCGGGGCCAACACCAAAGCCTGGGCGGCATGGTGCTGCGCGGCACGCATATTGATGGAGGGGCCGGGGCTGGGCTAGCAGCAGGGCGGGCGGGCACCGCGGGCAGGGGGCAGGCAGGAGGCAGAAGCCGCGCAGGGTGGCACGGTGGGGCCGTGGCTGCTGAGGGGTCTTTCCTGCCGGGGGGCCGGGAGCGGCGCTGAGGCCGAGAAGCCTCAGCCCCCTCAGTCAATGCACAGCATGCCATGGGAACTTCTCTCATCTCTGCTTGCTTTTAGATTATGACAACAAGCTCGGTTCGCCTGGTTTGGATCCTGCTTTGGAGCCTCAAGAGGATCCCCGAGGTGAGTTGTGAGTGGGCTTCCTTGAAGGAAGATGGCTACTGTGCTGTAATAGTTTACTGAGGGTCTTCCAAGTGGGTTTGTGCCTTGAGGGGGCTTGCACAAATGAGCCCTGAGTATTTCTGCACTTGGAGAGATGCCACCCCTGCCCCTCTCCACAGAGAGGGGAGAACCCAGGCTTTTCTTCCTATTTGGGCCACGTCATTGCCTGACCGCTTTTGCCAGTGCCTCCCAGTCACTGATGAGGAGGCAGGCCCGAGAGGCAAGGGAAGCTCCCCTTCCCTGTGTCTGATCCCACTTGTGCCCACAGGCAGTGTTGGTGAAGTGCCTCCGTGGAATCCTGCTCCTGAGCCTGCCAGCATGGGTCCCACAGGTGGTAAGTTGTCAGTGTTCATTCCCTTGCTATTTGCTAACGCTTTGTTGAGCTAGCTCAGCAAGGGTTCAGCTGCTCACTGGCCAGCGGGCTGCTCCATGACAAACATGGGTGATCATTTTTCCTGGGGTCTGCAGGCTCCCCCTGCGCGGGGGTTCCTTTGTGCCCAGCAGACATCTTCCCGTAAGAAAGACCTGAGGGGCCACATCTTTGTTGGCGTGGTCCCTGCAGGGCGTTGCGCACGGCCTCGAGAGAGGATTTGGGAGCAGCTCAGCAGGCCCCTTTGTGGCTTTGGAAATCTGGGCTCGTGCCTGGGTCCCTCATCATTGCCTGAGCCCCCTCCAGTCGCTGCAGCTCACTAAGGAGGAGGTATGATCGCACCATGCGAGGCCAATGTTTCTCTTCTGTGTTTGATTGCAGCAGTTCTCGCAGGCACTGGCTACTCGACACCTCAGCTTGATGTGGTCCACGGGCCTCAGGGCAATCCAACAGGTAAGTCAGCGGAAGGAAGGAGCATCGAGGTGCTGCAGAGCCCAAATGTCAGACAGGCATCCCTGCAGGATGATGCAGGTTGTGCCCTGTCCAGGCACGACCCCTGGTATGCTCTCCTTCTGAGCTACTGATGTAGGTGTTGATGTGACAGAAACTTCTCACGGGTCTTTGCTTGCAGAAGTGTCCCCAGGGAGGGCTTTACCAGACCCTCGGCTGTTTCCTGCGTTGAAGCCCAGCTGGTCTCGCAGGGGTGGGTAGTCATTTCACTGACTTCACACACTATGCCCAGTTCTCCAAATTGCACTGGTGCCAAAGTGAACTTGCTGCTTTCTGTTCAGGTCCTCTTAGAAGAAAGGGAAAAGCTGATTTAAGAAAAGCTTCCCCAGCGTCCTCTGACATCATAGAGGATATCGTAAAGGAGTTAGCAAAGGCAGCACCTGGTGGGTATATTTCACTCTGTCTTTTGAGAAGCACTACCTTCCAGAGACACCATCCTGGAAAGGAGGAGCCGTTCCTTATACTCACACTGTCCTGCTTTCTTTCTAAAGGGATAGCCAGAGAGACAGTGCCCAAGGAGGTACTCTGGAAATTAAACAGTCGCACGCTGCCACTCTCTGGCAAGAGAGCAAAGGCAATGCAGGCAACTGCCACGCCAGGTAAAGGCTGTTTCTTGGCCATCCGCTGTCACCAACCAGAACCAGCATGCGCGTGCAGGTTCTTGCCCGGGTACCCGCTCTTGCACCTCATGGCTGCAGCCAAACCCATGTGAAGCCCATGGAGAATACGCTGGGAAACGGGACCCCTCCTGTGAACTGAGGCCCCCAGTGATGCCCTGAGCCAGTGCGGATGGGGCACTGCCTCACTGCCCCTCCTGAATTACCAGGAGTGCACAGGACACAGCAATGTCCACAATTGTTCTTCCAGGCGTGGATGAGAACAAGGCGAAAACCACAGAGCCCCCAAACTACCGCCGGTACTGCATAGAAGGGGCTGCAGCGTTCTTGGTTCCCCTCCTGCTTGGCACAGTTGCCTGCTGTGTGCTGATCCGGCGTTGGAGGCAGAAAAATCGGTGAGTTGTTGTTCCCGCACTCCCTCTCCTCACCTCCTCCCAAATTCTTTGCCTTGAAGAGGGGCAGTCAGTGTGTCACAGCCACACCTGCGTGCTGTCAGCGTGCGTGTCTTCAGCACAGACAGGGCTTGTGTGTTTAATTACACATCCCAAAGAGCGGATGGGCAGCACCTCACCGAACAGTGAGCCCAGGCTGCCACCTTGTTGGGCCAGGGCCAGGGCCAGGGCCAGGGCCAGGCAGGGAGCTGAGTGCTGGTCCTTGCCAGGCGCTCTGGGGAAGGGCAGACGGTGGCTTTTGGGGCCTGGCCATGCTGAGCCCAGCTTGGCACCCCTGTCTCTGCGGGGGCCAGGTCTTCTTCCTGGGACAGCACGTGCAGAGCAGGCAGGTGAGGATGGCCGGCGAGGCGCTGGGGAGGAGACGAGGTTGTGGAGGGGATCCGAGTCCCATCCGAGGGCACGGGTTGTCCCAAATTCTGCACAGAGCACTGCGTGCCCGCAGCTCACGTACAGCTGGGTGCCTGCACCCCGCTGCCTCGCACCCGCCTGGCACCGCAGCCGCAGCACGGCCTCAGCAATTCCTGTCCCCGCAGGCGCCTCGCCGCAGCCCAGGCAGCCCAGAGCTCCTTGAGGCCATCCAGGAGGCCTGAGCACCGTGAGAGGCCTGAGAGCCAGGCCCGACGCCAGCAGCCACCAGCAGTGCCTGGAAGGCCTGCCCGCCTGCCACCAGCCCGGCCTCCGCGGCCCCACGGCCCCCACAACAGTGGAAGGCACGCGACAGGCCCAGCGCCCCCCAGGCCTCATGGGCACGGACACCGCCCCCACGGCCCCCCCCACCCTCCTTCAAGGGCTGGGGGAGGCCCCCCGGGGTGCAGCCTGGGGCAATTACTGAGCCCCAGGCTGTACCCTCAATAAATATTGAATAAGACAGCACAGCAGTCCGGCTCTTCTGTACAGCAATACCCAGGGACCCACAGCAGGACTTTGATGGAGAAGTACCCCTGAGGGTCCTCGGTGCTGGGGGTCAGCCAGCCTGTGCCCACCATGCAGGGAACGCAGGGGAAGGGAGCTGGGGAGCAGCACAGCAGGAGCAGGCAGAAGGGCTGTGAGCGCGCCACTGACCCTGCACAGCGCTCAGCCGAGAACCCCCTGTTGAAACTGGCTGTGCCACAGCCACACACAGGCCCGGGCCTTTCCTGATCCTGTTCCTCCCCACAGCCAGCCCTCCTCAGGTCCTGACACTGCCCGGATGGCCGATTTGGGCCAGGGTGCCCCATGCCAACGCTCCCACGGCTCAGCTCTCCTCAAGGGCACATGGAGATGTACCCAGCTCTTTGCAGTCAGGGCTGGGATTGCCACATGCTGGCACGAGGGACTGCAACCAGAGGGGAGACCCGAGACGCTGCCAGCACCATTTGCAAATCCTCACTTGAGGGTGGCCCTCTCCTCCCGTGGGGCTCCTTTGCGGAGCAGCATGACAGCCGGCTGTGGGAGAGAGTGCTGAGAGCTCGGCTCCAGCTCCGGAGTTGCGGAGTTATACAACCCCACCCGCAACAGAACTCTGCGCCTTCTCTCTCTCCAACCCCTAACCCTAATTAAGGACCCCCCGAGCCATTAAGGACCCTCCCCGGGCTCTCCCCCAATTCCCTCCCCCCCTCGGGATATTAACCCTAACCCTAATTACACTCCTTATCAAGCCTCCCATCGGAAGCCCTGGGTAGACCTGCTGTCCGAACATCTCACACCATTTAGGTAGACCTGCTGTCCGAACCACACCTCCCATCTCCCAACTGGGTAGACCGGCTGTCCTAACATCGCCATCTAGGTAGACCTGAAGTCCGAACCACCACCACCATCTGGGTAGACCTGCTGTCCTAACATCTCTTACCTGGGTAGACCTGCTTTCCGAACCACACTCCCATCGCCCACCTGGGTAGACCTGCAGTCCGAACCCTCTCCCGTCTGGGTAGACCTGCTGTCCGAACCACATCCTGGGCGGGCCGTTCCCTCCCTCTCTCCCTCCCCCTCCCCCTCCCTCCCCCCGTTTTCCCATTTTCCCGTTTCTCTCCCCCCATTTCGGCGCTCTCACCACAGCTCCCCGGCGCCATGAAGCCCCCCGAGGCCCCGCCTGCTCCCGGCCCGCTTCGCGGGAGGCCCCCGGGGGGGAGGCCCGGGCCGCGGCCTGGTCGCGCGGGGAGAAGCGCCTCGCTGCTGGCGGCGCTGCGGGCCCAGCCGCGCTCGGCCTCCCCCAGCTCCAGGCCCGGCCGCTGCGGGACCGCCCTGCCCCGACGGACCGAGGCCGAGGTGGGCCCGGGGGGGGGTTTAAATTTTAAATGCACGTGGGGGGGGGGGTAAAATTTTGTTGGGGGGGGTTTGAAAATGCCTGGGGGGGGAGGCTTAATGGCCCGGGGGGGGGGGGTTAAACATTCGGATTAGGGGTCTTAAGTCCCCGGGGGGGGGTGCTTTGACGGAGGGTAATGCCGGGGGGGGGGTAAGGCCATGCCAGGCCGTGTCAGCGGCGTGTCACCGGCGCAGGGGAGAACAAGGAGGAGGACAGCAGCGTCATCCACTACGACAACGAGGCCATCGCCCGGCTGCTCGATCGCAACCAGGACGCCACCGACGACGCCGACGTGCAGAACATGAACGAGTACCTCAGCTCCTTCAAGGTGGCGCAGTACGTCGTGCGCGAGGAGGACAAGGTGCGTCCGGGGACAGGGGGGCATGAGGGGGGGACAGCGGCTTGGTGGGGACGAGGGAGGTGATGGGGATGATGGGGACAATAGAGATGGTGGGGTGAGATGGGGTGGGGGTGATGGAGGTGGGAATGGTGGAGATGATGGAGATAAAGATGATGGGGATGGGGGGATGGTGGAGATGGTGGGGACAACGGGAGTGGGAGCGATGGAGATGATGGGGTGGAGATGATGGAGGCAGGGATGATGACAATGGGGATGGAGACAATGGAGATGGGGACAATGGAAATGGGGATGATGGAGATGGAGATGATGAAGACGCTGGGATGTGAATGGGGGAGATGGGGACGATGAAGATGCAGATGATGGAGGTGATGGAATGGGAATGGGAAATGGGAACGAGTGAAATGATGGAGATGATGGGGGTGATGGAGACGTGGAGATGGGGACGGGGGATGAAGGAGATGGAGGTGGTGAGGATGGGGATGATGGAGGAGGAAAAAACGGGGACAATGGGGATGGGAACCATGGAAACGGTGGAGATGGGGACAGTGGGGGTGATGGAGGTGGGGACAACGGGGATGGAGATGATGGAGGTGATGGGGACTGTGGAGGTGGAGGTGGTGGAGATCATGGGAATGCAGAGGACGGGGACAGTGGGGATGAAGAGGTTGGAGATCATGGGGATGAAGATGATGAGGACAGTGGAGGTGATGGGGACAATGGAGATGGAGAAGATGGGGATCATGGGGGGGTGGAGATCTTTGGGGCGATGGGGACAATGCAGATGAAGGTAATGGAGATGAGACAATAGGGGTGTTGGAGTTGAAAAGGATGATGGGGATGGTGGAGATGATGGAGGTGAGGACAACGGGGATGGGGGTGATGGAGGTGATGGGGACAGTGGAGATGAAGGTGGTGGAAATGATGGGGATGGAGATGATGGGGATGAGGACAGTGGAGGTGGAGGTGATAGGGACAGTGGAGGTGATGGAGATGATGGAGATGATAAGGATGAAGATGGTGAAGGTGATGGGGACAATGGAGGTGGAGATGATGGAAATGATGGAGATGATGGGGATGGGGATGATGGAGATGATGGGGGCAGCGGAGGTGGAGATGTTGGGATGATGGGGACAGGGATGATGGAGTTAAGGAGGACTGGAGATGATGGAGATGAGACAGTGGGGATGGAGATGATGGGGACCATGGGGGTGGAGATGATGGGGACCATTTGGGTGGAGATGATGGGGACCATGGGGACGATCCAACCCACGGCGCCTCCTCCTGCAGATCGAGGAGATCGAGCGGGAGATCATCAAGCAGGAGGAGAACGTCGACCCCGACTACTGGGAGAAGCTGCTGCGGCACCACTACGAGCAGCAGCAGGAGGACCTGGCGCGCAACCTGGGCAAGGGCAAGCGGGTGCGCAAGCAGGTCAACTACAACGACGCTGCCCAGGAGGACCAAGGTGGGCACTGGGAGGGACTGGGAGGCACTGGGAGGGACTGGGAAGGAGCTGGGAAGGACTGAGAGGGAACTGGGAGGGACTGGGAAGCAGCAGGAGAACCTGGCGCGCAACCCAGGCAAGGGCAAGCAGGGTACACAAGCAGGTCAACTATGATGGTGGTGCCCAGGAGGACCAAGGTGGGCACTGGGAGGAAACTGGGAGGCACTGGGAGGGACTGGAAGGCACTGAGAGGGAACTGGGAGGCACTGGGAAGCACTGGGGAGGAGCTGATGCACAAGCTGTCAAGAGCAAGCAGGTCAGCTACAACGATGGTGCCCAGGTGGGCACTGGGAGGCACTGGGAGGATGCTGGAACGTACTGGGAGTTAGTGGGAGGGGTCTAGGTGTACTGGGCACCCAAGCTTAGGGAATCGAGGTGGGTGCAGGGCGGTTGAGAGCACTGGGAGGCAGTGGTGAGGTACTGGGGCACATGGAGGAGGCACTGGGATGTACTGGGAAGGTACTGGGATACACTGGGAGGGTGTTGGGAGGTGCTGGGGGAATTGCTGATGCTCACACCTGTGAGGACCAAGGTGCTGCAGGGCAACTGGGAGCGCTGGGAGGCACTGGTGCGTGCGTTAGGAGGCACCAGAAAGGGTAACGGGAGGATACTGGGAGGCACTGGGACAGACTGGGAGGGACCCGGGTGGAGTGCCGATACAATGGGCACCCACACCCTGGAGGACTGGGGTGCCCCCGAGGCAACTGGGATCACTGGGAGGTTATTGGGATGCTCCTCTGAGGCACTGGGAGGCACTGGGACAGACTGGGAGGCACTGGGAGGGCTCTGGGCCGGACTGCGGAACACGCGGGGGGCATTTGGGGCAGGGGGGCATTTAGGGGGCATTTGGGTGGGCATCTGGGGGTCCCGGGGGGGCACCTGGGTATTAGGGGTCTGAGGGGTGATTTGGGGTCTGGGGGGGGCAATATCGGGGTGCCCGGGGGGGGGCCTGGGGGTGCTGATCCCCGCCCCCCCCCCCCGCCCCCCAGACAACCAGTCCGAGTACTCGGTGGGCTCCGAGGAGGAGGACGAAGACTTCGATGAGAGGCCGGAGGGTGAGCGCCCCCCCGTGCCCCCCCCCGTGACCCCCCGTGTCCCCACACGTCCCTCTGACCCCCCCATGTCCCTCTGCCCCCCCCCACATCCCTCTGCCCCCCCCCCTCCTCATAATGTCCCCAGCTGTCCTCGGTGTCCTCCCCATGCCCCCCCCCTTCTGGGATGGGCTCCTGCCTGCCCCTTTGGGGGGGGGGGGGTGGGGGACACCTTGGGGAGCCCTGGGGGGCACAGGAGGGTTCGGGGGGGCCTCCTGGGTGCCCTGGGGGGGTCACGGGGGGGGGTGACAGCGATGTCCCCGTCCAGGCCGGCGCCAGTCCAAGCGGCAGCTCCGGAACGAGAAGGACAAACCGCTGCCCCCGCTGCTGGCCCGGGTGGGGGGCAACATCGAGGTGAGGACCCCCGGGGGGGCACCTCGGGGTGGGGGGGTCCCCTGGGTGTCCCCTGGGTCCCCCCTGGGTCCCCTTGTGTCACCTGGGGGGGCCATCGGGTCCCTTTTTGTCCCTTATCCCACTCTGGGTTCCCCCCCAAGACCTGGGGGGTCCCTCTGACCCCTGGGGGTCACCTGGGTGTCCCCCCCCCCCCCCCCTCAGCCACCAGTGTCCCCCCTCCTCCTGTCACCTTCCTGGTCCCCTGGGTCCCCCCCCAGTGTCCCCAAACACCAGTGTCCCAGCAGCCCCCCCCCACCTCGTATCTGCCCTTCCTGAGCAAGCCTTGGGGTGTCCCCGTCCCCTCGGGGTGTCCTCATCCCTTGGGGTATCCCCGTCCCCTCGGGGTGTCCCCATCCTCCTGGGGTGTCCTTGTCCCCATGGGTGTCCCTCAGGGTGTCCCCATCTCCTTGGGGTGTCCCTGCCCCCCCCCAGGTGTCCCCCTGGGTGTCCCTATCCTTGTGGTGCCCCCATCCTTGGGGTGTCCCCCTCCCCTAGATGTCCCTGTCCCCCCGGAGTGTCCCCTTCCCCTGGGGTGTCCCCGTCCCCCCTGGGTGTCCCTGTCCCCCCGGGGTGTCCCCATCCCCTTGTGGTGTCCCTGTCCCCATGGGTGTCCCCTTGGGGTGTCCCCATCCCCCATGGGTGTCCCCCCAGGTGTCCCCCTGGGTGTCCCCATCCCTTGGGGTGTCCCCATCCCCTGGATGTCCCCGTCCCTCAGGGTGTCCCTGTCCCCCCGGGGTGTCCCCATCCCCTTGTGGTGTCCCTGTCCCCATGGGTGTCCCCTTGGGGTGTCCCCATCCCCCATGGGTGTCCCCGTCCCCCCAGGGTGTCCCCATCCCCTTGTGGTGTCCCTGTCCCCATGGGTGTCCCCTTGGGGTGTCCCCATCCCCCCGGGATATCCCCATCCCCTGGGTGTCCCCGTACCCCCTGGGTGTCCCCATCCCTCGGGGTGTGTCCCCATCCCTCGGGGTGTCCCCCGCCCCCCGGTGTCCCCGTGACCCCCCCCTCCCGTGCCGCAGGTGCTGGGCTTCAACACGCGGCAGCGCAAGGCGTTCCTCAACGCCGTCATGCGCTGGGGGATGCCCCCCCAGGACGCCTTCACCTCCCAGTGGCTCGTGCGCGACCTCCGCGGCAAGAGCGAGAAGGAGTTCAAGTAGGTGGCACCGCGGGGACACCCTGGGGACACCGTGGGGACACCAAGGGGGCAATGAAGACAGCGGGCGGTGGCCACGGGTGTCCCCAAAGCTGTCCCTGGGGTGTGGGGGGGGGGCTGAGGTGGGGTTGTGTGTCCCTGTCTCTCTGTCCCTGTGGGGTTTCGTGTGTCCCCATGGTGTCCCCACGGTGTCCCCACAGACCTCACTGTGACCCCATAGGTGTCCCCGTGTCCCCATGAGTCCCCGTGTTCCTGCGTGTCCCCGTGTGTGTCCCCATGTCCCCACTGGGTCCCCATGTGTGTCCCCACATCCATGTGTGTCCCCATTCGTGTCCCCATGTCCCTGTGTGTCCCCATGTCCCCACTGTGTCCCCATGTCCCCATGGGTGTCTCCATTGTCCCATGTCCCTGTCCCCATGTCTGTGTCCCCTCCATGTCCCCCCATGTCCCCGCCACGTCCCTGTACTCCTCCATTGTCCCATGTCCCTTTGTCCCTCATGTCCCTGCATGTCCCCACCTTCCCGTGCCCATGTCCCCATGTGTCTCCATGTCCCCACATGTCCCCAAGTCTTCCCACATGCCCCATGTCCCCGCGTGTCCCCGCGTGTCCCCGCGTGTCCCCGTGCCGCGTGATGAGCCCTTACTCAGCCGAGCGCCGCCGTCGGCTTTCCTGGGGAGCGGGCGAGCGCCGTGTCCCCCTCACGCCGACGCACAGCCACCCCCAGGGGGGACGGGGTGTCCCCCGTGTCCCCGTGTCCCCAAGGGGGGCCGGGCAGGGCCCAGGGGACGCCAGAGAGGTGGCAGGACCCGGCCACAGCCGGCACAGGCCTGGGATGGGCGCTGTGACGAGGGGACGGCTGATGGCGCGGGGACTTTGGGGACATTGGGACACTGGGGATGTTGTTGGGGACACTGGGGACATCGGGGACATTGGGGACAACAGGGACATTGGGGTGGGGATCCCAGGAATGGGGACAAGGACCCTGGGGACAAGGACAGCGGGATGTGGGGGGACACTGGTGGCAGGGACCTTGGGGACAGGCATGGGGACAGAGCCCTGGGGACCCTGGGCACAGGGACCCTGGGGATGGGGACAACGGGGACGGGGTCTGTAGGGACAAAGCACCTCAGGGACAGGGACAGCAGGGACAGGAGCCTCTTGGGACCGGGGTGGGGACGCAGGGGACGGTGACGCTGGGGCCGAGGGGCCGCCGGGGGTGGCGGTGTCCCCAAGGGCATGTTGTGTCCCCAGGGCCTACGTGTCCCTCTTCATGCGCCACCTCTGCGAGCCGGGCGCCGACGGCTCCGAGACCTTCGCCGACGGGGTCCCGCGGGAGGGGCTCTCGCGGCAGCAGGTGCTGACCCGCATCGGTGTCATGTCCCTCGTCAAGAAGAAGGTACGCGGGTCCCCGTCACCTCTGTCCCCTCCCTGTCCCCTCCCTGTCCCTTCCCTGTCCCCTCCATCCCCTCCCTGTCCCCTCCATCCCTTCCCTGTCCCCTGGACCCCCACCTGGGGTCTCCTCAGTTCCCTGCCTCCCCGACGTCCCCTGGGTGTCCCCCCCATCCCCTAGGTCCCCCCCGTGTCCCACCCCCCCCCCCTTCCTGTCCCCAGTGTCCCCCGGTGTCCCCACTGTCCCCGCCGCCCCCCAGGTGCAGGAATTCGAGCACATCAACGGGCGCTGGAGCCTCCCCGAGCTGGTCCCGGAGCCCAGCGCCGACTCCAAGCGCTCGTCGCGCGCCTCGTCCCCCGCCAAGACCTGCAGCACCGACCCCGAGCAGAGCCGCACGCCCACCCCATGCACCTCCAAACCCGGTACGGCCACGGGCACGGGGACACGGGGACCTGGGGACACGGGGACGGGACACGGGGATGTGGGAACATGCGTATAGGGACAGGAACATGGGAATGTGGGGACACGGGAATGGGGACACAGGGACAGGGACAAAGGGACAGGGACACGCGGATGTGAGGGACAGGGATGCAGGGACATTGGGACAAGGGGATGTGGGGACAGGGACATGGGGGTGGGGACACGGGGGTGTGGGGACATGGGGATGAGGATGGGGACATTGAGACGTGAAGGACAGGGAGCGGGGACATGGGGATGTGGGGACAGGATGGGGACAGGGACACCACGGACATTGGGGATGGGGATGAGGACATGGGGACACGGGGACAGGGGGTGGGAACTGGGACGTGGGGAGCAGGGGGGACAGGGGGTGGGGACAGGGCCACCAGGGACGTGGAGGACACAGGGCTGGGGACACAGGGACATGGGGACAGGGGATGGGGACAGGGACACGGGACAGAGGACACAGGGGACAAGGGATGGGGACATGGGGGGCGCAGAAGCATCACTGGGGTGCTTGGGGCCCCCTGCGTCCCCGTGTCCCCCTCTCAATGTCCCCTGTCCCCAGCCACGCCAGCGCCCAGCGAGCGCGGGGACGGGATGGGGCCACCCCCGGACAGGGACGACGGTGACACCCGGGACGAGAAGGAGCCCAAAGGTCCCGAGAAGATGGAGACAGAGGTGGGTGACGGTGCTGTCCCTGTCCCCGTCCCCAACACTGTCCCCATGTGTCCCCATCCCTGCCCTCCTCCCCATCTCTGTCCCCTTCGTCCTCATCCTCATCCCCTCTGTCCCCTCCCTGCTGTTGTCCCCACGTCCCCCGTTCCCCCCTGGGCTGTGTGGGGACACTCAGGGGTGACGCCAGCTCCGTGTCCCCGTTGTCCCCGCAGGCTCCCGTCCCCGAGGCGCCGCCGTCCCCGGGCGATGGCAGCGAGGCCGAGGGCCCGAGGAAGGGCGAGGAGGAGGAGGGCCCCGGCGGCGAGCGGGAGCCCGAGGCCGAAGGCCCCCTGGCTCGCGACGAGCGTGGTGAGCACCTGGTGTCCCTGTGTCCCCCCCCCGATGTCCCCAAGGACCCGGTCCCTGAGCCCCCCCTGTCCCCTTCCAGCAGGTGCCGAGGTCGAGAAGCCCCCCGGGGGGGAAAAAGGTGACGAGAAACCCCCCGAGGAGGAGCCCAAGGAGCGGCCGGGAGACCCCGACCCCAAACGAGGTACCTGGGGGGGGGCCTGATAGGGTGGGGACCTGATGGGGACGTGGCCAAGCTAATTAGGGGGGGGGGGGTTAACCAAGAAGCCCCCCCTGCAGCAGTCCGTTGGTATTTGCGCTGCGTTCACTCTGAAGCCTACTGATGGCCGGGAGCCGCTCCCTGCCTGCTGGGGGGGCCGCGGGTGGTTTGGGGATGCTGGGGAGGGGGGCACGACTGCGGTGCTGAGCCCCTCCCCCTCCCCGCGCCCCCCCCTCGCAGAGGAGGTGAAGGCCGAGAAGGAGCCGAAGCTGGAGCCGCGCGCCAACGGCCGGCGGGAAGACAAAGCCGAGAAGCCGCGGTTCATGTTCAACATCGCCGACGGCGGCTTCACGGGTGAGCCACGGGGGGGTCCCCCAGGGGGTTTTGGGGTGCGGGTGGGGGCCACGCGGCGGGGTCCCCTGCGCTCCTGACGCCCCCCCCCCCCCCCCCGGCCCCGCAGAGCTGCACACGCTGTGGCAGAACGAGGAGCGCGCCGCCGTCTCCTCGGGGAAGCTCAACGAGATCTGGCACCGGCGCCACGACTACTGGCTGCTGGCCGGCATCGTCCTGTATCCTTCCAGCACCCGCAGCACCCTGGGGTGCCCCCAGAGCCCCCAGGTCCCTCCAGCAGCACCCTTGGGTGCTCCTGATACTACCCCCAGCATGCCTAGGTCCCCACCCCCCGGCACCCTGGGGTGCCCCCAGCACTTCCAGGTCCCTCCTGCTGCACCCTAGGGGTGCCCCCAGCAAGGCCAGGTGCCCCCAGCAGCACCCTTGGGTGCCCCCAATACCCCCCAGCACTCCCAAGTCCTCCCAGCAGCACCCTGGGGTGCCCCCAGTAGCACCCCATGTCCCCAGCAGCACCCTGGGGTGCCCCTGATACCCCCCAGCATGCCCAGGTCCCGTCCCCCCCTACCCCCATCACTCCTTAAACTCTCCCAGCACCCTTGGGTGCTCCCCAGTACCTCCCGGGTCTCCCCAGCACCCACAGGTGCTCCCCGGTACTTTGCGGGTGCCCCCCGCACCCCCGGGTGCCCTCCAGGTGCCACCATTCTCCACGGGGATGGTGGCAGTGGGGCAGTGACAGCAGGGTGACACCTGGGGGGGACAGGGGACAGCAGTGGCAGTGATGGTGACACTGGGGGCAGTCCTTAGGGCACAACTAGGGTGGGTGATGTGGGAACAGACGGGGGTGTTGGGGACAGAGTGGTGTGGTGACACAGTGACACGGTGACTTGGTGACCCGGCGACACAGTGACTTGGTGACATAGTGACTTGGTGACATGGTGACACCATGACAGTGACCTGGGGGCACAGTGACATGATGACACGGTGACTTGGTGACATGGTGACACAGTGACTTGGTGACATAGTGAAATGGTGACACCATGACATGGTGACTTGGTGCCACAGTGACTAAGTGACATGGTGACACCATGACATGGTGACACCGTGACACAGGGACTTGGTGACATGGTGACGTGGTGACACCGTGGCCGTCCTTATCGCACAGCTCTGGCTCCACGTGCTGGACATGGGATGGTCTGGGGGTATGAGGGGGCTGTTGGGGACACGGTGACACAGTGACAGTGACAGGGTTGTGACGCAGTGGTAGTGATGCAGTGACAGTGACACGGTGATGTGGTGATGGTGACAGTGACATTTGGTGACACAGTGACATGGTGACATAGTAATCTGCTGACACAGTGACATGGTGAAGCAGTGACACGGTGTCTCAGTGACATGGTGACAAAGTGACAAGGTGACAGTGACAGTCCCTAGCATGTGGCCACAGCTCTGTGCGCCAGATGGGGAATGACCAAGGGGGAAGAGGTTGACGTGGTGACACGGTGATGCAGTGACACGGTGACGCGATGACATGTTGATGCGGTGACGGTGACACAGTGATGCAGTGACATAGTGACATGGTGACGCGGTGACATGGTGATGCGGTGACATAGTGACACAGTGACGTGGTGATGTGGTGACATGGTGACACGGTGACATGGTGACACAGTGACGTGGTGACATGGTGACATATGACATGGTGATGCAGTGACACGGTGACATAGCGACACGGTGACGCAGTGACATAGTGACGTGGTGACATAGTGACATGGTGACACGGTGACGTGGTGACACGGTGACGCGGTGACATAGTGACACGGTGACGTGGTGACATGGTGACGCGGTGACACGGTGACACGGTGACGCGGTGACAGTCCTTAGCGCGCAGCCACGGCTACGCGCGCTGGACGGACATCCAGAACGACGGCGCCTTCGGGGTCATCAACGAGCCCTTCAAGGGCGAAGCCTCGAAGGGAAACTTCCTGGAGATGAAGAACAAGTTCCTCGCACGCCGCTTCAAGGTGAGCGCACGAGGGCCTTGCACAAGGGCCTTGCACGAGGGCTTTGCACGAGGGCCTTGCACCCGCACGGGGGTCTTGCACGAAGGTTGGCCTTGCGCAGGGGCTGCTCTGGGGACACGGCTTGTGGGGCTGGCGCGCAGGGGCTGTGTTTTCACACTTGTGCGAGCTTTTTGCACGAGGGTCTCCATGCACAAGTGCCAGGCTCGCACGAGGGGCCGGGCACAGCGAGCGTGCACCCAGGCAGTGCTCACAACGTGGGCCACGCACGAGGGCAGAGAGGGTTGCACGGGGACAGGGCACAAGAGGCAGAGCCCCCATGGGGGGACGTGGAGGTCACCAGGGGGGCACGGAGGCCACCAGGGGGGCGCAGAGGACACCGGGGTGGCGTGGAGGCCACTGGGGGTGCCTGGAGGCCTACCAGGAATGCGCGGAGGCCACGGGGGTGGCGAGGCTGGTGGCGAGGCCGCCTCCCCCCTCCCCCTTTTTTTTCCCCTTTTCCCCCTCTTTTCTCCTCCCCCCACCCCCCCGTCCCCCACTCCCCTGTCCCTCCCGCAGCTCCTGGAGCAGGCGCTGGTGATCGAGGAGCAGCTGCGCCGCGCCGCCTACCTGAACATGACGCAGGACCCCAGCCACCCCGCCATGGCCCTCAACACCCGCTTCGCCGAGGTCGAGTGCCTGGCCGAGAGCCACCAGCACTTGTCCAAGGAGTCGCTGGCGGGCAACAAGCCCGCGAACGCCGTCCTGCACAAGGGTAAGAGGCGGGCGGGCCGGCGCGCCCGGCGCGGACGCCCCGTGTAGCGCCTCGCACCTCTCTGTACCCGCGCTCTCAATCATTAAAGTGGGGTTCTCCTCCCAACCGGCTCCCGGTGTATCCTTGCTCTGCGCGTGCTTTCTGGCGGCCGGGGAGGGCGCGGGGGGGCGGCGGGGCAGCTGCTGGAAGGCCCCCGAGGGGTTTCCGGGGTGTGAGTAAACCTTGAGTAAGCTCGGAGTAAGGCGGGGCGCGGACGCAGGGCGGCCCGAGGGGCTCCGGGGTGCGCGAGGAGGAGCAGCCGGGAGCTTCTGTTGCATACCGCGGGGCTTTGCGCTAAGATGTATCTGCTTAGTAACTGTAGTGGAAGTCTGGAGGATGCAAGTAGTATGTGCCGTGTGCTTCGGGAGTATGTAATGCATTTACCCAGTGTATCTCTCGTGGGGGTATGGAATGAGTATATTCTGAGTAACCCTTGCAGTGGCCAGAGTATCCCTGGTGCATGTAATGAGTAAACCTGGAGTAATTCTGGTGTACAGAGTGGGAGTACCCAGACGGTTCCTGCTTGCATGTAATGCATAAGCCCAGAGTACCCCTGCAGCATGTACAGGCTTTGTCCAGAGTGCCCCTGGTGCATTTAATGAGTAAGCCTGGAGTACTTTCAGGGCATGTGCTGAGTATGCCCAGAGCATCTCTGGTGTATTTAAGGTCTTTGCCAGCAGTATCACTGGAGTAAGCCATGAGTATCATTGCTGTAGGCTGCTGTAGCTATGGAGAGGTTCTCAGGGGGATCTGATGAGTATTCCCTGAGTATTCCCTCCCTAAGGGTCTGTTAGCAATGTGCCCTGAGGATCTCGTGGCTGAGTAATGAGTATCGGTGATGTAGCTGCAGGCCGTCCCATAAGCCCCTTGGCCTTAGGAGTATGCAAGAAGGATGCCCGGAGTATCTCTGGTAGAAGTAGAATGTATCTGGAGTATCTCTGGTCTATCTGAGGAGTATCTTTGGTGTGCCTAAGGCATAAATCTAGAGTATCTCCAGAGCATTTAAAGAGAATATCCAGAGTGGCTAATGAGTATCTGTGGTGTATCTAAGGAATATGCCCAGAGTGACAAGTAGCATACACTACCTCAGGTGTCGCTAAAGATTATACCTGGAGTAGCTCTGGGGTGTCTAGGGAGGATACCTGGAGTGTCTAAGGAGTATTTCTGGAGTATCTCCAGTGTAGCTAAAGCATGTGCCCCTAGGTGCCCAAGCAGTGTGCCTGGAGTATCTCTGGTGTCTCTAAAAAGTATACATGGAGCATCTCCAGTGTGTCTAAGGTGTATGCCTGGAGTGTGCAAGGAGTACAGACAGAGCAACTCTGGTGTGTGTAGAGTAAACCCAGAGTGGCTAAAGAGTAAACCTGGAGTGTCCCAGTGTGTCTAGAGAGTATACCCAGAGTAAGTAGCATAATCAGAGCATCTCCAGTGTGACTAAGGAGCATACCTGGAGTATGTACACACAGAGTACCTCTGGCGTACCCATACCCAGTGTACCTCTGAGTCCTCCCACCCTGGAGCATGCCCCCACTTCCCGCTGGTGCATCCCCCGAGTATCCCTTGAGTAGCTCCCCGCCTTCCCCTCCCTCCCCCCACCCCCCTCCTTGCTCTCACGTGAGTATCTCCACCCCCGCTCCCCAAATAACCCGTGACTATGCTGTGATTAACCTACGAGTAACCTGCGAGTAACCTACGAGTAAGCTGCGAGTAGGCGTGGGGCGGCCCCCCGGCGCTGACGGGCCGCCCCCCGCCCCTCTTTCTCTCTCTCTCCCCCCCCTTTCGCCCCCCCGGCGCCAGTGCTGAACCAGCTGGAGGAGCTGCTGAGTGACATGAAGGCGGACGTCACCCGCCTCCCCGCCACCCTGTCCCGCATCCCCCCCATCGCCGCCCGCCTGCAGATGTCGGAGCGCAGCATCCTCAGCCGCCTCGCCAGCAAGGGCACCGAGAGCCACCCCCCGCCCGTAAGTCACCGCGCGGTCCCCCCCCCCGGGGATGTCACCCCCCCCCTCCCCCCCCCACAATGGGGATGGCCTCCCTTCCTCGGGGTCGTGCCCCCCTCCCTGGGGTCGTTGCCCTACACGCGCCCTGACCTCAAGGCCCTGGGGGCATCGCTCGGGTGCTGATGCCCCCTGCCTTGGGGGGCACCCTGGGGACACCCCCTCACCTTGGGGGGCACCAAGAAGCTTGGGGAGGGTGCACACCCTGCGGACACCCTGCCTTGGGGACACCCTCTTGGGGACACCCTGATCCTTGGGGACACCCTCACCCCTTGGATCCCTTGGGGACACCCTGACCCCCCCCCCCCCCCCCCCCCCGGGACACCCTCACCCCCTGGGGACACCCTGACCCCTGGGGACACCCTGGGGTGCCCATCCCCTGGGGACACCCCCCTGGGGGATCCCCAGAGGCAGCAGGGTGGGGGGGTGACAGCCTTGTCCCCGTGTCCCCAGACCTTCCCGCCGGGGCCCTACGCCACCCCCCAGAGCTATGGGGGCACCTTTGGGACCCCCCCGGCCGGAGCTCTCCCCCCTGGGGGGGCCAACTACAGTCAGATGCCGCCCGGCTCCTTCATCACTGGTGAGCATCCGGACACCTGGGTCCTTCTTTTTTTTTGGGGGGGTGGGGGGGGCAGGGGACCTACATGCATGGGGGGGGCACCCACGTACATGGGGGGGGCACCCACATACTTTGAGGGGGGGCATCCACATAGCTGGGTCCTTGGTGGGGGGCACCCAGACCCCTGGGTCCTTCTTTTTTTTTGGGGGTGGGCACCCACATACTTTGTGGGGGGGCACCCACGTACCTGGGTCCTTCTGGGTGGGGGGGACACAGACCCCTGGGGTCGGGGCTGGGACCCCTGGGTCCCTTTGGGGGGGCACCCAGATGCTTGGGTCTGGGGGAGCGGGGAGGGAAGGGGGTGTTATTGGGGGGGGGGGGGCAGTGTGTGGGGCCCCCCCTTGAGTAATGTCCCCCCCCCCAACTCCTTGCAGCCGCTGCCAACGGCCCCCCGGTGCTGGTGAAACGGGAGCGCGAGGCCGAAGGGCCGGAGAAGAAGGAGCCGCGCGGGGGCGAAGTCATCTGCATCGACGACTGAGGGGGGGGCTGGCGGGGCCCCCCCTCCCCCCCCAGCCCTCCCCCCACCACACCCGGGCCGCCCCCTCCCCCCCCTTGGCGACGGCGGGGGCGGGAGGGGGAGGAGGGGGGGGGGGGAGAGACACTGCCGGAATTGCCTCGTTTCACCCCAAAATCCGGGGCGGGGCAGTCATCGGCGTTGGGGGGCGTTTTGGGGGGGGGGTGACGAGGACCACTGCAACTATAAATATGAATATATATATATATCCCCGGTGGCGGGGGGGGCCCCGGCGTCCGGGTTGGCCCCAGTGTCCCCCCCGAGGTCCCCCGGTGTCCCCAGGCCCCCCCCCCCCCCCCCCCCGGGGCTTGGGCACTTGTTTAACCGCAGCAGAATAAAACCCGGTTCCTTGGCTACGGCACCCGGCTCCACTCGCTGCTGGACAGCACCGCGGGGCCACCGGCGGGGGCGTGGGGGTGGCCACGGGCACGGGCACAGCCATGGGGACGGCCACCAGCGTGGTCGTGGGGCTGGTCACCAGTATGATCACGGGTATGGGCCACCAGCGTGGTCATGGGGATGGCCATGGGGATGGCCACCAGTACAGTCATGGGGATGGCCACCAGTATGGTACTGGTCGTGGCCACCAACGTGGTCATGGGGATGGCCACCAGTACAGTCATGGGGATGGTCACCAGTATGGTACTGGTCGTGGCCACCAGCGTGGTCATGGGGATGGCCACCAGTACAGTCATGGGGATGGCCACCAGTATGGTACTGGTCGTGGCCACCAACGTGGTCATGGGGATGGCCACCAGTATGGTACTGGTCGTGGCCACCAGCGCGGTCATGGGGATGGCCATGGGGATGGCCACCAGCGTGGTCATGGGGATGGCCACCAGTATGGTACTGGTCGTGGTCACCAACATGGTCATGGGGATGGCCATGAGGATGGCCACCAGTACAGTCATGGGGATGGCCACCAGTATGGTACTGGTTGTGGCCACCAACGTGGTCATGGGGATGGCCACCAGTATGGTACTGGTCATGGCCACCAGCGCGGTCATGGGGATGGCCATGGGGATGGCCACCAGCGTGGTCATGGGGATGGCCACCAGTATGGTACTGGTCGTGGCCACCAGCGCGGTCATGGGGATGGCCATGGGGATGGCCACCAGCGTGGTCATGGGGATGGCCACCAGTATGGTACTGGTCGTGGTCACCAACATGGTCATGGGGATGGCCATGGGGATGGCCACCAGTATGGTACTGGTCGTGGCCACCAACGTGGTCATGGGGATGGCCAAGGTCATGGTCATGGGGACGGCCACCAGTGCCAGCAGGGGGCTGGCCACCAGCCACCCCCACCCGTGCTGCCACGGAGGCACCGCGTGGTGGCCACAGCCACCAGTGTCACCCTGGGGGCCCAATGCCCTCTGTCGGGGGGGGGGGGTGGCCACTGAAGTGACCGGGCCATGGCCACGGTGGCCTCGCGTGGCCCCAGCCCCGTGGTGGCCGCAGTGACACAAAACAAGACACGGGGGTGGCAGGGGACACGTTTTTACTGGGGGGAGTGGGACCAAAGCTTTGCAGGGAGCTTCTGGGGGGGGTCTCCATCCTTGGAGGGAGTGAAGGCCACCGGGACGTGGCTGTGGTGGCCCCCCGGGGACCCTCCTCAGCCCCCCCTGGACCCCAGGAAGGTCCCTGCAGCCCCCAGAGACCCTCCTGAGCCTTCCCAGACCCTCCAGAGCCCCCCCAAGACCCTCCAAATCCCCCTCCCCCCCCAGGACCCTCCTGAGACCCCCAGGACCCCACGCAGGTCCCCAGTACCCCCCAGGTCCCCTCCCAATATTTCCTGCTGGGACAAGCGGGTGACACCGAGGACCCATTTTTTTTGGGGGGGGGGGGGTCAGGGGGGTTCAGGCCCCCCCCCAGGCCAACTCGTGGAGGCGTCGGGCGGCGGCGCTCAGGCGCCCGCGGTACTCGAGGCCGCGGTGCAGCCCGGGGGGCACGGCCGCCAGCCCCCCCAGCAGCCCCCAGCAGCCGGCGGCGATGGTGCCGGTGGAGTCGTTGTCCCCCCCGTGCAGCACCCCGCGGTGACACAGGGTGGCCCAGCACCCCCCCGCCGCCAGCAGCGCCTCCAGGGCCACCATGGGGGCGTCGTGGCCGCTGCGCCCCGGCCACCCCCCCAGCGCCCAGCCCAGGTACTCGGCGTCCCGCTCGGCCGGGGACGGCAGCGCCGGCAGCCGCGGGGGGCCCGAGCCCTCCAGAAGCCCCCGGGACTCCAGGTAGCTGCGGGGACAGGGGGGACACTGGGGTCAGTGGGGACACTGGGGGCACTGGGGGCACAGGGGACATTGGGGTCACAGGGACACCGGGGTCAGTGGGGATATTGGGGTCAGTGGGGTCACAGAGACACTGGGGTCAATGGGGTCATGGGGACAGGAGGGTCAGTGGGGACGCTGGGGTCACTGGGGTCACAGGGACACTGGGGTCAGTGGGGACATTGGGGTCAGTGGGGCCATTGGGGTCATTGGGGTCACAGGGACACTGGGGTCAGTGGGGACACCAGGGACATCAGGGTCACCAGGCCATGGATGTCCCTAAACACTCCCAGTATCCCCAGTAACCCCTCCCAGTGCTCCCAGTGCCCCCTTACAGGTGCCACTTGTCCCTGAATAAGGACCAGTCCGCACCATTGTCCCCTATGGCCACCCCAGTGCCCTCCCAGTGCTCCCAGTACCCCCTCCCAGTGCTCCCAGTGCCCTTTCCCAGTGCTCCCAATGCTCCCAGTGCCCCCTCCCAGTGCTCCCAGTGCTCCCAGTGCCTCCTTACCAGTGCCAGGTGTCCCCAAAGAAGGGCCAGGTGATGGCGTTGTCTCCAACAGCCACCCCAGTGCCCCCTCCCAGTGCTCCCAGTGCCCCCTCCCAGTGCTCCCAGTGCTCCCAGTGCTCCCAGCACCCCCTCACCGGCGCCAGGCGTCCCCGAAGAAGGGCCAGGCGGCGGCGTTGTCCCCGACGGCCACCCCGGTGCTCTCCACGTAGTCCCACGCCTGGGGCAGGACCCGCAGCAGCTCGGCCCCCCACTTCTCGGGGGGCTCCCCCCGCGCCCCCAGCGCCCCGAAAAGGGCCACGGCCAGCGCCCCCAGGTACCCTGCGGGGACAGAGGGGGGGGGGTCAGGGGATTTGGGGGGGGGGTCCCTGGGGGGGTCCCCGCGCCCCGGGGTGGCACCCACCGGTGGGGTGGTGGTGGGTCATGCGCCCGCTCTCCACGCTCACCCGGATCAGCGTCGGCAGCTCCCGGGCGTGGGGGTACCTGCGGTGGCCCCGGCCCTGTCACCCCCCCCGCCCCATGTCCCTGTCACCCCCCCCCCCCCCCCCCCAAATCCCACATCCTCATCCCCATCCCTGTCCCCCTATGACCCTGTCCCTCACCCCGCCACGTTCCCATCCCCCCATGTCCCATGTCCTCATCCCCCTCACCCCCATGTCCCTGTCCCTGCACCCCCAAGTCCCTGTCCCATGTCCCCACCCCTGTCCCCACCATGTCCCTATCCCAGCCCCCTCCCCATGTCCCCACCCCTGTCCCCACCATGTCCCAACCCCTGACCCCCCCCCCATCCCCCATGTCCCTGTCATCCAGTCCCCTCCATGTCCCCCATCCCTAATGTCCCATATCCCCATCCCTGACCCCCCTCATGTCCCATGTCCCTGACCCCCCCCCATGTCCCCACCCCTGTCCCCATGCCCCCCTGCCATGCCCCCAGTGTCCCCATCCCTGTCCTCCCACGTCCCAGACCCCCCCCATGTCCCCCCCATGCCCCCCCCCTATGTCCCATGTCCCCTTATACCCCCCCCATGCCCCCCCGGTCCCCATCCCTGTCACCCCATGTCCCTGACCCCCCCCCCATGTCCCTGCCCCCCCCCGTGCCCCCCACCTGAGGCCGATGGCCAGGCTGCGCATGGCGGCCCCGCAGCCGGTGCCAGTGGGGTTGAAGGGGATGCGATACCCCTGGGGCTCCCCGGGCCGCAGCTGCGAGGTGCCTGGGGGGGGGGGGGGGGATTTGGGGTGAGCCCCCACCCTCCCACAACACCCCCCCCTACCCCCAACCCCCCCCCCCCCCCCCCCCACGCACCCAGGATGCTGGTGGGCCCCGGTTTGCGCCCCTCCATGTCCCCCATGGCGGCCACGTAGCGGCGAGCCAGCTCCTGCAGGAGGGGCTCCCCCTCCAGGCCTGGGGGGGGGGGACACACAGTGGGGACCCCCCCCCAAAATGGGGGAAGGGAGATCATCCCCAACCCCCCCCCCCCCAAAAAAAAAAAAAAAAAAAATTGGAGGGGAAGGTGGATCCCCCCCCCCCAGTATCCCCACAATGAGAGGGGACCCACCTGGGCACCCCAAATTGGGGGGGGGGAAATTGGGGATCCCCCTAAAATAAAGGGAAAAGGACCCCCCCCCCCATGAGTATATCAGGGACCCCCCCCCCCCCAAATACCCCCCAGGGACCCTGCAAAGTGGAACTGGGGCACAAAGGGGACCCTCCCCTTACACCCCCCCTCCAAGGACCTCCCCCCCCATATGGGTCTGGGGTACACAGGGACCCCCCCCCCTCAGGAACCCCCCCGATGAGGCTCTGGGGTACAAAAGGGACCATCCTTACCCCCTCCTTACCCCCCCCCCCAAAATGGGTCTGGGGGTACAAAGGGACCTCCCTCCCCACTTACCCCCATCACCCCTCCCCAAATAGGTCTGGGGGACCCCCCCCACTCCCATATACCCCCCAAATGTGGCTCCGGGATACAAAAGGGACCCCCCAGAACCCTTCCAAAATGGGTCTGGGAGTACACAGCGACCCCCCCCTTTACCCCCCCAGCCCCCCCCAGATGGGTCTGGGGTACAACAGGGACCCCCCCACCCCACAAATACCCCCCCCCCCCCCGAAAAAAAAAAACACATGGCTATGGTGCACGAAAGGGACCCCCTTACCCCCCAGCCCCCCCACCCCAATGGCTCTGGGTTATGAAGGGCCCCCCTTTACCCCCCCCCCAAAAAAAAAATGGCTCTGGGGGGTTCCCCCCCCCCCGTTACCGGTGGCCAGCCCCTCGGCCGTGGCGAGGTGCAGCACGGTGTCGTCGCTGACGGGCCACTCGGGGGGCTCGAGGGCGATGGCTCCGAGCCCCCCCAGCTGGGCCAGCTCGGCGTGGATCTGGGGCCCCGAGGTGCAGTACTCCCAGCGGGACCCCCGGTACCCCAGGGCGTCCCCCACCCCGCTCAGCACCAGGGCGGCCTCGTACGCCTCCACCGAGGGCACCCTAAGGGGTATTTTTATTTATTTTTTTTTGGGGGGGGGGCATGGGTGTTGTCACAAAGGGACTTTGGGACCCCCCCCACCCCCCAATATCCCTGGGGGACACTCACGTCTCCGCCATGGTGGTGGCAGCTGGGGACGCCCGTCATGGGGGGGGGGGGGAATGGGGACAGAGCTGGCTGGGGGCCCTTAAAGGGGACGGGGATTTGGGGGGGGTCTGGAGGGGGGGGGCGTAATGTGGGGGTGACTGAATGGGGAAACTGAATGGGGAAATGAGACTCCTGAAAGGCGTGGGGGTACGGTGGGGGCACTCAGAGGGGCCCGAAAATGGGATGGGGGGGTTAATGGGGGCTGCGGGGGGGGGGGGGGGGCAGCTGGGAGGGGGGTAGAGAGGGAAATGGGGGTGGGGGTCCAGAGGGGACTGGGGCACCAAAGGGATATTAAGGGATTGGGGGGGGGGGGGGGGGGGGGGGGGGGCAAAGGGACATGGGGCTTCCCAAAGGGATTTGGGGGGGGGGCCCAAAGGGACCCAGGGAGCACCCAAAGGTATATGGAAGGGCGGGGGGGGGCACCAAAGGGACATGGGGGCCTCCAAAGGGATTGGGGGGCCCAAAGGAATTTGGGGGACACCCAAAGGGATTTGGGGGGGGGGAGCACTCAAAGGGACATGAAGGCAGAAACACAGAGGGGGGAAAAAAAAAAGGCATTTCCAAGAAAAAAACAAAACAAAACAAAACAAAACAAAACAAAACAAAACAAAAACACAACTATTTCTACCATTTTTTTTTTCCCACTGGGATGGGGCAAAAAACAATAAAGATTTTCCTCCCACCTCCCCCCCACTCCACAGACCTCCAAGACATATTTTGGGGGCAAGACCCTTCAAAATCATCGTTTCTCACCCAGGTGCGTCCCACCAGGACAGGGCTGATAACCAGGGTCTGAGCCGACCTAAAAATGTTCTTTTTTGAGTTAAAAAAAATTAATAATAATAAATGCAATTAGTGGTTGGTGCCAGGCAGCAAGGAGTTAAAAGCTCATCCCTAAATTTCAGCAACTTGATTAAAAGTCCGCTGGTGAAACCCTGGTGCTGGACCCTTGCCAAGCTCTGGGTTTTTGTCTTTTTCTTATTTTCTTTTTGGCAAAAATTGCACCAAATAGCCATTATTTATTTATTTATTTATTTATATGTATTCAGTGTAAACTGGACCCAGCCCCCCCCCCACCCCAAAAGCACCCAGGTGCCCAAGGCCCCCCCAGAACCCCCCAGGTTGGGGGGGGGGACATTGGGGACACAGGGGGGGGACACCCCAACACAGCCCCTCAGACGCTGCAGCATCCACCACCTTTATTGTGTTGGGGGGGGGAGCTCGGGCCCCCCCCAAAGTTTCCCTGAGTTGGGGGGGGGCCACGAAGCCCCCTGAGGTAAAGGGGGGGGGTAAAATAGAGGGACCCGGAGGTGGCACAGAGCTGGGGGATCCCTGAGATCTGCTTGGGGTCGGGGGGGGGGGGGGCACATTTGAGGGGGGGGTTCCCATTTGGGGGGGGCTACCCCAGAGCTTGGGTTTTGGGGTGACCCCCCCCAAACAGATGGAGCCCCCCCGTTTGTTTTTTGGGGGGGTTATGGAGGTTTTTTGGGTTGTGTCCCCCCCCATTTTGGGGTGTCTTTGGTGCAAGCTGACGGGGGGGGGGGGGGGGGGGGGGGCTGCGATCTGGGGCCTAACTCCCAATTTTGGCGTTCTCAAAGCCCCCCACATTTGAAGTTCCCGGGGGGGGGACAATTTTGAGCTGCCCAAAGAGCCCCCCCCATATTTATGATCCTAAAAGTGTTCCCCCCACATTTTGGGGGTTCTGGGGGGTTCCCCAACATTTAGGATTCCCAAATGGGTGTCATGGCCGCCCTGGAGGTGTCATGGCCACCCTGGAGGTATCATGGCTGCCCTGGAGGTGTCATGGCTGCCATTGGCGGTATCATGGGCACCCTGGAGGTAACATGGCCACCCCTTGAGGTATCATGGCCGCCATTGGCGGTATCTTGGCTGCCCTGGGAAGTGTCATGGCCACCATTGGCAGTGTCATGGCCACCCTGGAGGTATCATGGCCACCCCTGGAGGTGCAATGGCCGCTATTGGAGGTATCATGGCTGCCATTGGCGGTATCATGGCCTCCCTGGAGGTGTCATGGCCGCCAAGTAGGTGTCATGGCCACCATTGGCGGTATCATGGCCGCCCTGGAGGTGTCATGGCCGCCAAGTAGGTGTCATGGCCACCATTGGCGGTATCATGGCCGCCCTGGAGGTATCATGGCCCCAACATTTGGGATTCCCAAAGACCCCCCCCCCCCTTTTGCTCTGCCATTCCCACCCCCCAACACCCCCCCCCACTTTTAGGGCTTCTCAAGGGGGGGGGGCAACATTTCGTCTCCTCCCAAATCATCCTCCCCACAACCAGATGAGGCCCTGACACCCCCCCACCCCCCCTAATTTGGGAGTGCCCCCCCCAGAATCTATCACAGCAGCCTGCAGGTGGCCGAGCGTGCCCCCCCGGCGGGGGCGGTGTTGGGGTCCAGGTCGGGGGGCAGCTGCCCGGGGTCCCCCCAGACGTTGAGCTCCTGGAAGATGCCGGTCTCGATCAGCTCCTCCTGCCAGGGCACGGGGACGGTCCCCGAGGCGAAGGCGTCGCACAGCGCCGCGTCCCTATCGTCCAGCTCCACGCCCCGCACCGTCGAGAAGGCCCCCACATCCCCCAGGTCCTTGGCGTACACCCGACGGGGGTCCGGCACGAAGGGGGGGGGCACCAGGCCTGCAAAGTAGTCCCAGGAACCTCCCCAGTACCCCCCAGTATCCCCAAGTACCACCTCAGTAACCCCCAGTATCCCCAGGTACCCCCAAGTATTGCCAGGTAATCCCCCAGTACCCCCCAGTATCCCCAGGTACCTCCCAGTATTCCCAGGACCCCCCCCAGTACTCCCCAGTATCCCCAGGTGCCCCCCATTATCCTCAAGTACCCCCCCAGTACCCCCAGGTACTCCCCCCATAATCCCAGATATCCCCAATACCCCCCCCAGTATTCCCAGGTACCCCTCCAGTAGCCCCCACTACCCCCAATAGCCCCCCAGTACTCCCCTGCTATCCCCAGTACACCCCCAGTGTTCCCAGTAGCCCCCCAGTACCCCCAGTACTCCCCCAGTCTCCCCGTGATGCCCCCAGTAGCCCCCCAGCACCCAATGCCCACCCAGGGGTAGTTTTGGAGCACCCAGCACCCACTGGGAACCCCATTTTGGGGCACCCAGCACCCACTGGGACCGCTCCAGGAGCACCCAACCCCCCCAGACCCCTTCTAGAGCACCCAACCCCCAGGTGAACCCCTTCTGGAGCACCCAGAAAGACCCCTTCTGGAGCACCCACTGCCCCCAGACCCCTCCTGGAGCACCCAGCACCCACTGGGACCCCTTCTAGAGCACCCAACCCCCAGGTGAACCCCTCCTGGAGCACCCACAAAGACCCCTTCTGGAGCACTCAAGTCCCCCAGACCTCTCCTGCAGCACCCAACACCTCCAGACCCCTTCTAGAGCACCCAACCCCCAGGTGAACCCCTTCTGGAGCACCCATAAAGAGCCCTTCCAGAATACCCACCACCCAAACCAACCCCTCCTGCAGCACCCACTGCCCCCAGACCTTTTCTGGAACACCCAGCACCCACTGGGACCCCTTCAAGAGCACCCAACCCCCAGGTGAACCCCTTCTGGAGCACCCAGAAAGACCCCTCTTGGAGCACCCAGCACCCACTGGGACCCCTCCTGTGGCACCCACTGCCCCCAAACCCTTCCTGGAGCACCCAGCACCCACTGGGACCCCTTCTAGAGCACCCAACCCCCAGGTGAACCCCTTCTGGAGCACCCAGAAAGACCCCTCCTGGAGCACCCACCACCCCCAGACCCCTCCTCCAGCACCGACAAAGACCCCTCCTGCACCACCCCCACCCCCAGCCCCCCCAGCACCCCTGGGTGGGGGGTTACCTGCCTCGAGGCGCCCCCAGCTGACGGCGGCGAAGACGGGGTGCGCCTTGAGCTGGGCGCAGCTCCCGGCCTGGAAGCCCAGGCGGGCGCCGGGGTCCTTGGCCATGAGCCCCTCGCAGGCCGCCCGCGCCGCCACGCTGAAGCGCTCCGAGAAGCTCAGCGGGTCGTGCAGCGTGCGCCGCGTCACCTCCTGGTTCTCCACCTGGGGGGGTGACCCTGGGGATGGGGGGGGACCCTGGGGACAGGGTGGGGGACCCTGGGGACAGGGGAGGGATGGGGGTGACACGGGGGGATGGAGGGTGGGGAGTGGGGAGGATGCCTGGGGGCTTGGGGAGATGCTTGGGGACATGGGGATGGCACCTGGGGACATGGGGGTGACCCTTGGGGACATCAGAGTGACAACTGGGGACATGGGGGTGATATGTGGGGACATGAGGTGGCACTTGGGGACATGGGGGTGATGCTTGGGGACATGGGGGTGACTTGGGGAAATGTGGTTGACACCTGGGGACATGGAGATGGCATTTGGAGACACAGGGATGACGCTTGGGGACATGGGGGTAAGTGAATGGGGACATGGGGATGACGCTTGGGTCCCCAGTACTTTCCAGTACCTCCCAGTCCTCCCAGTACCTCCCAGTCTACCCCACCTTCTCCCCGCGGCACCGGAAGGGCCCCCTGGCCTCCACCATCTCAAAGAGCGTCACCCCCAGCGTGAAGTAGTCGACGGCCCAGTCGTACTCCTCGTCCCGCAGCACCTCAGGTGCCATGAACCCTGGGGGGGGGGACAGGGGGGACACCCCGGTGACGGGGGGGGCAGGGGGACACCCCCCGTGTCCCCTCTCCTGGCTCTGGTTCTGGCACTGGGGGCCACGGCCCCGCGGTGTCCCCCCTGTGTCCCCATGTCCTCAGTGTCCCCCCCCGTGTCCCCTCCCCGTGTCCCCCATGTCTCTGGGTCCCCCCACATCCCCTAATGTCCCCCCCATGTCCCCCCGTGTCCCCACCACCTCCCCATGGCCCCCCAAGTCCCTCTGATGTCCCCCCCATGTCCCCATGTCCTGCCCACACCCCCTGTGTCCTCAATGCCCCCCATGACCCTCCCATGTCCCTGTGCCCCCCCCATGTCCCCCCCATGTCCCCCTCCTACCCGGGGTCCCGGCGTAGCCTCGGGTCTTGCTCTGCCCCTCGCGGAGCTCCACGGCCAGCCCCATATCAGACAGACGGACGTGGCCTGTCCCGACCAGCACCACCAGTAACCACCAGCGACCCTCCCAGCACCTCCCAGTAACACTCCCCAGTGTCCACCCCCCAGCCCCTTGGTGTCCCCACAAGTCCTGGATGTTCCCCCGTGTCCCCCAGGTCCTGCGCAATGTCCCCAAATCTCCCACGTCCCCCCAGTGTCCCCATATCCCCCCAATGTCCCCAATGTCCCCCACATCCCCCTCTTGTCCCCCACAGCCCCCCCAGTGGCCCCACATTCCCCCACGTCCCCCCAATGTCCCCATGTCCCCAGTGTCCCCATGTCCCCTACATCCCCGATGTCCCCCCGTTGTCCCCACATCCCTGATGTCCTCCCGTTGTCCCCACGTCCCCGACGTCCCCCCCATGTCCCCACATCACCGGCGTCATCGAGCAGGACGTTCTCGGGCTTGAGGTCGCGGTAGACGATGCGGTGCTGGTGGAGGTGCTCCAGCCCCAGCAGGATCTGGGCGGTGTAAAACACGGCCCGCGGCTCGGGGAAGCCGGGGTTGTCCTCGTCCACGTTGTACACGTGGTACCTGCATGCCAGGGACACGCCACGCACACGCTAAGGACACGCCAGGGACGTGCCCGCGCTAAGAACACGTGGACGTGCCCCAGGAGCTGGGACAGCCCGTTGCAAACGTGATGTGCATGCCATGTATGTGCCAAATAACACACCAGGAACATGCCAAGCACACGCCAAGCACACGCCAAGCACACGCTTACCGCAGGTCGCCGCCGTTCATGAGCGTCATGACGAGGCAGAGGTCGGTCTTGGTCTGGAAGGCGCAGGCCAGCGAGACGATGAAGCGGCTGTGCACCCGCGCCAGGATGCGCTTCTCCACCATCGCCGCCTGCACACGCCAAGCACACGCCAAGCACACGCAGAGATCATGGGGAAAACATAGAGGAAGATGAGAAGGAAAATGGAGGAAGAAAATGGGGGGAAAGAGAGAGGAGGAGAGGAAAGAGGGATGGACGAGGGGACAGGGGGACAGGGAGGGGGCAGGGAGTGGGTTGGGGACAGGGAAGGGGACAGGGGGACAGGTAAGGGGACAGGGGGACAGATGAGGGGACAGAAGGATGGACAAGGGGCCAGAGGGATGGACAAGGGGACAAATGGGCAGGTGAGGGGACAGAGGGACAGACGATGGGCCAGAGGGATGGACAGGAGGACAGAGGAATGGAAGAGGGGACAGGGGGACAGATGAAGGGACAGAGAGATGGACAGAGCTGGAGAGTGGGACAGAAGGATGGACAAAGGGACAGAAGGACAAGGAAGGGGACAGGAAGACATGATGGGACAGGGTAGGCAGAGGGACAAAGGGACAGGGGGACAAACAAGCAGACGGGGGACCCGAAGGATGGCGGCGGGGACGGGGGCGGCCACCTCATAGCCATGGCGCTTCTTGAGCCGCTTCTTGTTGAGGCGCTTGTTGGCGTACATCTTGCCGGTGGCGCGGCGCTGGCAGGCGCAGACCTCGCCAAAGCCGCCCTTGCCCAGCACGCGGAAGTCGGCGAAGGCCTCGGCGCCCACCGGCTGCGCCTCCAGCCACTTGAACTGCGTGAAGCGCCCGAAGTAGGGTGAGGCGCGGTACGGCGCCCACGCCGTCGCCTCCAGGTGTGCCAGCAGCTCCTTCCGCGCCAGCCCAAAGTCCTCCGGGGTGCTGGGACCTGGGAGGAACAGGGAGAGAGGTGGGGACAGTGTGAGGGGTGTCGTGGCGACCGTGGGTGTCATGGCTGCCATTGGCGGTGTCATGGCCACCATCTTCATGGCTCCATCCGGGGGGTCATGGCTACCACTGGGGTTATCATGGCTGCCATCTTCATGGCCATCCAGGAGGTATCATGGCCACCATTGGCGGTGTCATGGCCACCCTGGAGGTATCATGGACACTATTGGAGGTATCATGGCTGCCATTGGAGGTATCATGGCTGCCCTGGGAGGTATCATGGCCACCATTGGCGGTGTCATGGCCACCCTGGAGGTATCATGGCCTCTATTGGAGGTATCAGGGCCCCCCTGGAGGTATCATGGCTGCCATTGGCAGTATCATGGCCACCCTGGAGGTATCATGGCCACCCCTTGAGGTATCATGGCCGCCATTGGTGGTATCTTGGCTGACATTGGAGGTATCATGGCCGCCATTGGCGGTATCATGGCCACCATTGGAGGAATCATGGCTGCCACTGGAGGAATCATGGCTGCCATTGGCAGTATCTTGGCTGCCCTGGGAAGTATCATGGCCACCATTGGCAGTGTCATGGCCACCCTGGAGGTATCATGGCCGCCCAGGGACGTGTCATGGCTGCCATTGGCGGTGTCATGGCCGCCCTAGAGGCATCATGCCCACCATTGGCGGTATCTTGGCTGACATTGGCGGTATCATGGCCACCCTGGAGGTATCATGGCCGCCCCTGGAGGTATCGTGGCCGCCATTGGTGGTGTCATGCCCGCCTGGGAGGTATCATGGCTGCCATTGGCGGTATCATTGCCACCCTGGAGGTATCATGGCTGCCATTGGCGGTGTCATGGCTGCCCTGGAGGTATCATGGCCACCCTGGAGGTTACATGGCCACCCCTGGGGGTATCATGGCTGCCTGGGAGGTATCATGGCCACCATTGGCAGTATCATGGCCGCCATTGGAGGTATCATGGCCGCCCTGGAGGTATCATGGCCGCCATTGGAGGTATCATGGCCGCCCTGGAGGTATCATGGCCGCCATTGGCGGTATCATGGCCGCTCCTGCAGGTGCCACGGCCACACCTCTCACCTGCGGGCGGCGCCATGGCGGCGGCGCTGAGGAAGCCGCAGTGCTCGGCCCCTCCCGGGGTGAAGAAGCGCCCCCTCAGGGCTGTGGCCGCCGCGCCGCGCTCCGCCTCCTCGCAGCACTCGAAGGCCTCGAGCTCTGCCCACAGCGCCCCGGCCGCGGCCAGTCCCGGCGTGGCCTCCAGGAACTGGCGGAAGAGCCGCTTCCCGATGGGCTGCTCCACGCACTGCCAGCGGAAGGACGTCTCCTCCTCCCCGGCCTGGGCGCCGCCATCTTGCCCCGCGGCCCCCTGGGTGCCGCCATCGCTGGGGCCGCCGCCGGCCAGGCGGGCGCGCAGGGCCTCGCACTGGGAGATGTGGGGCAGGCGCAGGCGGGCGCGGTGCCGCCGGTCCCGGCTCGAGGCCCCGGAGGTGCCGGCGCCGCCGCCGCGGGCGGACACGTAGGCCGAGTTGGCCACCACCGTCTCCAGGCCACCGATGTCCATGGCTGCGGGAAGAGGGGAAGGGGCTCAGGCTGGGAGCGATTCTGGGATTAACCCCGCCCCCCCGGATTAGCCCCACCCTGGGATTAGCCCCATACAGGATTAGCCCTGCACCGGATTAGCCCCACCCCCGGATTAGCCCCACCCCCGGATTAGCCCCACCCCATGATTATCCCCACCTTGGGATTAGCCCCGCATCAGGATTATGCCCACCCCCTGGATCAATCCCACCCTCAGATTAGCCCCACCCCCCAGATTAGGACCCCAGGATTAGCCTCGCCCTCAGATTAGCTCCACCCCCTGGGTTAACCTCGCCCTCAGATTAGCCCCACTGCCCCGGATTAGCCCCACCCCAGATTAGCCCCGCCCCAGATTACCTCCAACCTTGGATTAGCTCCACTCCCAGATTAACCATGGCCCAGATTATCCCCACCGCAGATTACCCCCACCCCCGGATTAGCCTCACACCCCGGGTCAAACCCACCCCCAGATTAGCCCCACCCCCCAGATTAGCCTTGCCCTCGGATTAGCTCCACCCCCTGGGTTAACAACACCCCCAGATTAGCCATACCCCAGATTATCTCCGCCCTTGGATTAGCCCCACACCCTGTGTTAACCTCCCCCATGGATTACCCCCCACATCCTGGATTACCCCACCTGTGTATTAGCCCCACCATCATACTAGCCCCACACCCACATTAAACCTTGCCCCCAGATTAGCCCCACCCCCTCAGATTAGCTTTGCCCTGCATTACCCCCACCTTCTGACCCGGATTATCCCCACCCCCTAGGTCAAACTCACCCCCAGATTAGCCTCACCCCTGGACTAGCAACCCCAGATTAAACTCACCCTCAGATTAGCCCCGCCCCTTGGGTTAACCTCACCCCCAGATTAGCCCCACCTCCCCAGATTAACCCTGCCCCCAGATTAGCCCCACCACCATATTAACCCCACCCACGGAATAGCACCAGCCCCTGGGTTAGCCACAGCCCTGGATTAGCCCCTCCCCCTGGATTAGCCACACCCACCCATCCCATCCCCAGGTTGAATTTTACCCCTGGATTATCTTGACCACCCTAGATTACCCCTCCCCCTGCATTAGCCCCACCCTTGGATTAGCCCCACCCCCAGGTCAACCTCAGACCTGGATTAGCCGTGCCCTCTAGCTCAAACTCAACCCCAGATTAGTCCCACCCCCTGGATTAGCAACCCCAGATTAGTTTGTCCCTAGGGTTAGCGCCACTCCCTGAGTTATTGTCACCCCCCCAGATTAGCCCCACCCCCTGAATTAGCTCCACCAGTGTATTAGCCCCACCCTCATATTAACCCCGTCCCCATATTAGCCCCACCCCCGGATTAGCACTGCCCCCTGGGATTACATCAAAACTGGATTAGCCCCACCCTCTCATATTAGCCCCGCCCTTGGATTATCCCCACCCCCTGGGGTAACTTTACCCTCAGATTAGCCCCACCCCCTGGATTAGCCCCATCTGTTTATTAGCCCCGCCCCCATAATAGCCCCACCCCAAAGCTGAGCCTCACCCTGGGATTAGCCCCTCCCCCGGATTAACCCTGCCCCCACCAGCCCCATCCTCGGATTAGCCCCGCCCCCTGGATTAACCCCGCCCCCCTGACCGGGATTAGCCCCGCCCCCAGCCCAGGCCTGAGCCCTTAAAGGGCCGGCGCGCTATAATTAGCCCCAAAGCCGCTCAGCTCTAAGCCGCTTCCACCCCCCCTGCGGACCCCCCCCCTCAATCCCACAGTGCCCCTGGGCCGCACGGCATGCTGGGAATGCTGCCCCCCCTCAGCACCCCCCCATGGCCCAAAGGATGCTGGGAGCCCCCCCCGACCCCCCCCCCAAAGATGTTGGGCTGGGGAGGGGCTGGGGGAGGGGCAGGACCCAGGGCCCCCCCCAAAAGGACCCAGCCCCCACCCCCCCCAAAAGGACCCAGGTGCCCAGGGCCCCCCCAACCTTTTGGGGGGTCCGCAGAGGGCCCAGCCGCCTCAGAACCCCCCCCACGTGTCACCCTAAAAGGGACCCAGCCCCCCCCGATCCCCCCCTCAGGTGTCCCCCAACCCCCCCATGTGCCCCCCCCCCACCCATAAAGGGACCCTGACACCCCCCCAGGTGTCCCCCACCCCCAGGACCCCCCCAGGTGCCCCCCCCAGATGCTCCCCCCAGGGGACCCAGGCCCCCCCCAGACCCCCCAGGAACCCCCCAGGACCCCCAGCACCCCCCCACCCCCTCAGGACCCCTCAGGTGCCCCCACTCCCGGAATCCCCCCACCCCCAGAGGACCCAACCCCCCCGGGACCCCCCCCAACTGACCGCTGTCCCCCCCGGGACCCCCCCCGGTGCCCCCCAGCCCCTCTCACCCGCGCAGCTCCCGGTGCCCGCGGCGCCTCCCGGGGACCTTGGCCCCGCCCGGGGATTAAGGGGGATGTGCGGGGGCCCCCCCCCCCTTTTACAGCCCCCCCCCGAGGGCTCCCGGACACCGTGGGGGGGGGCACACGGGGGGGTCACACACACGCCATCCCCCCCCCCGTTGTCCCCAGGGGACCCGTCCGGGACGCGCCGTTACCGGGGAGCCCGGAGCCGCTCGGCACGGCACGACCGGGGGGGGGGGCCGGGGTCCCCCCCCTCTTTTTTTTTTTGGGGGGGGCTGGGGGGGTTGTGCCCCCCCCCCCCGGCATCTCCCGCCCACGCCCCGCCCCCTCTCCAGCCCCGCCCCCCCCCGCTCGGCAGCCCCCAAGGGCACCCAGAGCCCCTCCTCCAGTGCTCCCAGTTCACTCCCAGTAAGCTTCCAGGGGTCCTCCTCATCGCCCCCTCGCCGTGGCCCCAGTAACCCCCCAGTAGCCCCCAGTAAGCCCCCAGTAGTCCCCAGTAAGCCCCCAGTAACCTGCTCAGCGCCCCCAGTAGCCCCCCAGTGCTCCCAGTAAGCCCCCAGAGCTCCCAGGAGCCCTCCCCAGTATCTCCTCTGCGTGCTCCCAGTAGCCCCCAGTGCCCCCAGTAGCCCCCCAGTGTTCCCAGTAATTTTCTCAATGCTCCCAGTACCTGCTCAGTGGCCCCAGTAGCTTCCCAGTAGCCCCCCAGTGCTCCCAGTAGCCCCTCAGAACCCCCAGGATCCCCCCAGTGCTCCCAGTAACCTGCTCAGTGCTCCCAGTAGACCCCCAGTGCCCTCCTCAGTGTCCCCAGTAGCCCCCCAGCGCTCCCAGTAACCTTCTCAATGCCCCCAGTACCCCCCTAGTTCTCCCAGTTAGTACCCCCAGTGCTCCCCCATCCCTCGCCCAAGGCTCCCAGCGCCCCCCCCAGTGCTCCCAGTATCCCCCAGCGGCCTCCCATCGCCCCTCTCCCCGCGCGGCCCCTTTAAGCCCCCCCCTCTCCATTAAATCTCTCAATGGGGGGCGGTGGGAAACGGCCGCGGGACTCCCCGCCCCCTTCATTAGCATAAGGGGCGGGGTCCGGGCGGCTTTAGACGATTCATTACCATAAAGGGGCGTGGCTATGGGCGAGGGGGCGTGGCCCCCGAGGCTATATAAGGCGGCGCGGCGGCGGCGCTGGGGAGTCGCGGGTTCGAATCCCGGCGCGGGCGGAGCGGAGCGGGACCCCCGGAGCGCCCCCCCCCCTCCTTCCCGGGACCCCCCCCCCCCCGCCAAAAAAAAATATAAAAGAAAATAAAAAATGGCTCGGGACAAGGAGAAGCGGAGCTGCGGGCAGGTGCTGGCCGAGTGGCGAGCCTTTGTGTGGGACCCCCGGAGCCGCCAGGTCCTGGGCAGGACCGGCACCAGCTGGGGTAGGTCCGGCATTTTGGGGGGGGGGGGGGGGGTCGGGGGGGCGCGGGGGTTTTGGGGGTGCGATGGGGGGAGCAGCCCTGGGGGGGTTGTGTGGGGATCCCACCCCCTTGGGTTGCAGTGGGGAGGCGCTGAGGGACCCCCCCCCCCCGTAGGGATGCACATGGGGGGGGCTTCTAAAAGTTGTGCCCCCCCCCCGCACCCCGGTGTGGGTTTAGGGTATGGGGACCCCCCCCCCAATTTGGGTTCCCCATGGGGACCTTATTTGCCCCCCCGCCCTCCCCCATTTGGATTTCCCATAGGGACCCTATTTGCCCCCCCCCCCGTTTGAGTGCAGTGGGAGGGGGGCGTATGAGACCCCCCAATATAGCTATGGGGGGGGGTCGCATAGGGCCCCCCCAAATGGGGGGGTGCACGTAGGGGTCTCCTATAGGGCTGCATCAGGGTGGGTTGCGTAGGGATTCCCCTATAGGTACAAATGGGGGCACAGCGGGGACCCCCCCCGCTTGGGTCCGATGGGGGGGGGGGTGCGCAGGGACCCCCCCGTGTGGGTGCAGCGGGAGGGGGCCATATGGGGACCCCCCCCCAGGAGTGCAACAGGAGGGGAGTTTTATGGGGTCCTCCATCCCTGTATGGGTTTAAATGTGGGGGGGGCTGCGTAGGGACCCCCCCCCAAAATGCAGCCCCCCCATTTAAACCCGTAAAGCCCCCCCCATGGAAGGACATCTCTTAAAGTCCCCCCCCCCACTATGGGTGTAATTTGGGGGGGCTGCAGGCTCCCCCCACGAGGCTGCATTGGAAGGGGGGGGGCACTTTGGGGGATTTGGGGGGGGGTTAATTTGAGGGGGGGCAGGATTGTGCCCCCCCCCCCGCCCCCCCGTCTGTCGCGCTGTGGCTGCAAAAGTAGGTCACGGACAGGGCTGGGGGATGGGAGCGACAGGGACCCCCCCCCCGGGGGGGGGCAGCCAGATGGACATTGCCCCCCCCCATTTACAGACAGATGAGGACCCCCCCCGGGCTGGGACCCCCCCATTTGTAGGGACAGATGGCTCAGGGGGGGGGCTGGGGGGTTTGGGGGGGGGGGCAGAAGGGGGATTGTTTTTTTTGGGGGGGATTTTGGGGGTGTTCAGAAGGGATCGGGGGGGCCTCCAGGAGTGGGTTTGAGTTTTGGGGTGAATTTAGGAGGATTTGGGGACTGCGGTGGGTTTGGGGAGGATTTGGGGTTGTTTTGGGGGTATTTGGGGCTCCGGGAGTGATTTTTGGGGGGGATTGGGGCTTTGGGGGGGTATTTGGGGTGAGATTTGATGTTGTTGGGGTGGTTTCATGGATTTTAGGGGCATCTGGGGACAGTTTTGGGGTGTTTGGGGTGTTTTGGGGGTGTTTGGGGCAGTTTTAGGGTAGATTTGATGTCATGGGGCAGTTTTTTTGGGGGGCATTTGGGGGGTATCTGCTGCCATGGGGGTAGTGGGGGGGTATCATGGTGCAGTTTGGGGGAGGTTGGGGCAATTTTGGGGGGGGTGTTTGGGGGTGTCAGGTCAGTTGAGGGATCTTGGGGCAGTTTTGGGGGTCATTTGGGGGCCTCGGGGCAGATTGGGGGGGCATTTGGGGCTCTTGGGGCAAATTTTGAGGCACATTTGGGGTCATTTGGGGGTCTTGGGTGAGGTTGGGGGGGCATTTGGGGATCTCAGGGCAGTTTTTGGGGCACATTTGAGGGCATTTGGGGCTCTTGGGTCAGATGGGGGGGGAGTGTTCAGGGGTCTCGGGGCAGTTTGGGGACCTTGGGGCAGTTTTGGGAGTACATTTGGGGGTCTCGGGGCAGTTTTTGGGGGGGGTGTTTGTTACTGGGGCATTTTAGGGGGGGCAGTTTGGGGGGGTCTTGGGGCAGGTTTGGGGTCATTTGGGGGTTTTGGGGCAGTTTTGGGGGGGATGCTTGGGGTCATTTGGGGGTCTTGGGGCAGTTTGGGGGACACATTTGTGGTCATTTAGGGGTCTTGGGACAATTTGGGAGCCTTGGGGCAGTTTGAGGGGGGGGGCTTTTTGGGTGCTGGGGGGGCGACATTTGGTGGGTTTGGGGGACACTTGGTGTCCTCGGGGCAGCTTTGGGGGTATTTTGGGGCAAACGGGCTGCTTTGGGGTGGCGTTTCAGGACCTTTTTTTTTTTGGGGGGGGGATTCCACCACCCCCAGGGGGGGGTCATTGGGGGGGTGCTGACCCCGTGCACCCCCCCCCAGGCCTGATCCTGCTCTTCTACCTGCTCTTCTACGGGTTCCTGGCCGGGCTCTTCGCCCTCACCATGTGGGTGCTGCTGCAGAGCGTCGACCCCCACGTGCCCAAGTACCAGGACCGCCTCGCCACCCCCGGTGTGCACCAGGGGCCCCTTGCACGAGGGTTTGCACGAGGGGCCCCTCGCACGGGGACTCGGAGCCAGACCTCGTGGCTGGGGTTGTTGGGGGGGGGGGGGGGGGGGCGCTGGGGGTGTGCAGTGGGCGGGCTTGAGAGCCCCCGGTGGGACTCTTTGCACGAGGGACCCTTTGCACGAGGGTTTGCACGAGGATTTGCATGAGGGGCCCTTTGCACGAGGACCTGGAGTGAGACCTTGTGGCCAGGGGCATTGGGGGGGGCATTAGTGGTGTGCAATGGGTGGCCTTGAACCCCCCCTAGTGTGACTCTTTGCACAAGGGACCCTTTGCACGAGGGTTTGCACGAGGGTTTGCACAAGAGACCCTTTGCACGAGGACTTGGAGTGAGACCTTGTGGCCAGGGGCATTGGGGGAGGCACTGGGGGTGTGCAATGGGTGGCCTCGAACCCCCCCCCCCCCCCAGTGTGACCCTTTGCACGAGGATTTGCACGAGGGGCCCTTTGCACGAGGGCTTGGAGTGAGACCTCATGGCTGAGGGTGCCGGGGGGGGGGGGGGCATTGGGAGCGTGCAATGGGCGGCCTTGAACCCCCCCCGGTGGGACCTTTTGCACGAGGATTTTCACAAGGGGCCCTTTGCACAAGGGTTTGCACAAGGGTTTGCACGAGGGCTGCCTCAACATTGCCCGGGGGGAGTGGGTGTGCAATGGGGGGGGTGGCTCAGCCCCTGGCTCCCCCCTCCCCTTGCATGAGGCCCCCCCCCCCCCCCCATACACGTTGCACGGCCGTCGTGCAAGGCCGTGGTGCGAGGCCGGTGTCCCCGTGCGCAGGGATGATGATCCGCCCGCGCGCCGAGGGGCTCGATGTCACCTTCAACGTCACCCAGAGCCAGACCTGGCTCCACTATGTCCGCGCCCTGCACCAGTTCCTCGAGCGTGAGTGGACTGGGAGGCACTGGGAGGGGGCTGGAGGGCACTGGGAAGGGGCTATGAGGGAACTGGGGGGCACTGGGAGGGAATTGGGGGGCTCTGGGAAGGACTTAGGGAGCCCCACAATGCGCTGGGAGGGTCCTAGTCTGTACTGGAAGGCACTGGGAGGTTTCCAGTCTGTACTGGGATGGTTCTAGGATGTACTGGGATCCCCTTGGAGGCACTGGGAGGGCCGCATTCTGTGCTAGAAGAGCCTCAGTCCATACTGGGAAGCACTGGGAGGTCCCTAGTCCATACTGGGAGGCACTGGGGGGCCCCTAATCCATATTGGGAGGTCCTTAGTCCATACTGGGAGGCACTGAGGGTTCCCCAGTCCATACTGGGAGGCACTAGGAAGTCCCTAGTCCAAACTGGGAGGGCTCTGATCCATATTGGGAGGCACTGGGAGCTCCCTTGCCAATACTGGGTGGGCCCCAATCCATCCTGGGGGTCCCTACTCCATACTGGGTGGGCCCTAATGCATACTGGGAGGCACTGGGAGGCCCCTAGCTCATACTGGGAGGCACTGGGAGGCCCCTAGCCCATACTGGGAGGCACTGGGGAGTCCCTAGCCCATACTGGGAGGCACTGGGGAGCCCCTACTCCATACTGGGTGAGCCCTAATGCATACTGGGAGGCACTGGGGGGTCCCTAGCCCATACTGTGAGGCACTGGGGGGTCCCTAGCCCATACTGGGAGGCACTGGGGAGCCTCTACTCCATACTGGGTGAGCCCTAATGCATACTGGGAGGCACTGGGAGGTCCCTATCCCATAGTGGGAGGCACTGGGAGGTCCCTATCCCATAGTGGGAGGCACTGGGAGGTCCCTAGCCCATAGTGGGAGGCACTGGGGGGTCCCTAGCCCATAGTGGGAGGCACTGGGGGGTCCCTAGCCCATACTGGGAGGCACTGGGGGGTCCCTAGCCCATGGTGGGAGGCACTGGGAGGTCCATAGCCCATAGTGGGAGGCACTGGGAGGTCCCTAGTCCATACTGGGAGGCCCCTACTCCATACTGGGAGGTCCCTAGCCCATAGTGGGAGGTAGTGGGAGGTCCCTAGTCCATACTGGGAGGCACTGGGGAGTCCCTAGACCATACTTGGGGGTCCCTAGCCCATACTGGGAGGCACTGGGGAGTCCCTAGTCCATACTGGGAGGCCCCTACTCCATACCGGGTGGTCCCCGACCCATCCTGGGAAGCCCCTAGTCCCTTCTGGGAGGCAGCGGGAGCTCCCTGGCCCGTACTGGGCGGCACTGGTGCGAGCGGGTGCTGGCCGCAGCGTACAACGACAGCGTGCAGGCCGCCCGCAACGCCGCCTGCACCCCGGGGCGCTACAACGAGCAGCCGGACGACGGCGTCCCCAATTACCCCAAGCGCGCCTGCCGCTTCAACCGCTCGCTGCTGGGACCCTGCGCCGGGCTGGGAGCCGACGACGACTACGGCTACGGCGCCGGGCGGCCCTGCGTGCTGCTCAAGGTCAACCGGGTGAGGCGCTGGGGGCACTGGGAGCACTGGGAGGGGAGGATGGGGAGGGTTGGGATGCGCCGAGAGGGGCTGGGAGCGCTGGGGAGGTGCAAAACGCAATGGTTGGGGAGGTTGCAGTGCACTGGGAGGGACTGGGAGCACTGGGAAAGTGCAAAACCCCATGGTTGGGGAGGTTCAGAGTGCACTGGGAGGGACTGGGAGCACTGGGAAGGTGCACAGGGTAATGCTTTGGAGGTTTGCAATGCACTGGGAGGGACTGGGAGCACTGGGAAGGGAGAAAGGGAAAGGTTGGGGAGTGTTGGGATGCGCTGAGAGGGACTGGGAGCGCTGGGGAGGTGCAAAATGCAATGGTTGGGGAGGTTTGGAGTGCACTGGGAGGGACTGGGAGCACTGGGAAGGTGCAAAACGCAATGGTTGGGGAGGTTTGGAGTGCACTGAGTGCAACTGGGAGCACTGGGAGGGGAGAAAGGGAAAAGTTAGGGAGGGTTGCTATGCATTGCATTGGACTGGGAGGCACTGGGAGCACTGGGATGTGTCTGTTGCAATGCATTGCCGTGCACTGGGATGCCTTGCATTGCACTGGGAGGCACTGGGACAGACTGGGGGCACTGGGATTCCCTGGCATTACGGGCTGCGTGTCACTGGGCGGCACTGGGTCATACTGGGCGGCACTGGGCCCCCGTTAACCCTTCGCCTCCCGCAGGTCATCAACTTCTTCCCGGGGAGGAATAAGAGCATCAACGTGGTGTGCGCCGCCAAGGTGACCCCGGTGTCCCCCCCCTCAATGTCCCCAATGTCACCCCCCCACCCCGTGTCACCCCCCCGTGTCCCTAGTGTCACCCCCAACCCCCCCCCATGTCCCCAACATCACCTCACTCTCTCATCTCTCCCCAGCGGCCGCGGGCAAAGGGCGACCTGGTAAGGGGGTGCCCCCAAAAAATGGGGTAGGGACCCCAAATAGGCTAGATTCACCCCAAAAGCCTGCTGGGTGTCCCCAAATCTGCTAGTTTCAACCCCAATCCTGCTGGGTACTCCTGAAATAGGCTAGATTCACCCCAAAATCCTTCTAGGTGTCCCAAAATCTGCTAGTTCAAACCTAAATCCTGCTGGGTACACCCCAAAATAGGCTAGATTGACCCCCAAATCGTGCTGTGTGTCCCCAAATCTGCTAGTTTCAACCCCAATCCTGCTGGGTGATCCCAAATCTGCTAGATTAACCCCAAATCTCGCTGCTGCCCCAAAATAGTCTAGATTGACCCCCAAATCCTGCTGCGTGTCCCGGCGTAGGCTAGTTTAATCCCCAAATCCTTCTGGCTGTCACGAAAGCTGCTCATTTCACCTCAAAATCATGTTTCACCCAAAATCTTCTGGTTTCACCCCATAATCCTGCTGAGTGTCCCCAAACAGGCTAGATTCACCCCAAAGCCCTGCTGAGTTTCTCTGAAGCTTGTTGAATTTACCCCAAATCCTGCTGGGTGCCCCCAAATGTGCTGAATTCACCCCAAAGCCTGCTGAGTGTCCCCAGATAGGCTAGATTCACCCCAATCCTGCTGGGTGCCCCCAAATGTGCTGAATTCACCCCAAAGCCTGCTGAGTGTCCCCAGATAGGCTAGATTCACCCCAATCCTGCTGGGTGCCCCCAAATGTGCTGGATTCACCCCAAAGCCTGCTGAGCATCCCTGAACCGCTGAATCCCCTTGCTGTCCCCCAAATCCTCGCTGGCTGTCCCCAAATCCAGTGTCCCTAGGGGGTGTCCCCTGATGTCCCCATGCAATGTCCGCCCATGCCATGTCCTTGGTGTCCCCCAACGTGTCCTCACTGTCCCCATGCCACATCCCCGCTGTGTCCCCAGTGTCCCTGTGCCATTCCTGTGCTGTGTCCCCAATGTCCCCATTGTCCCATTGTGTCCCCAATGTCCCCGCTGTCCCCATTGTCCCTGTGCTGTGCCCACAAAGTCTCTGCTGTCCCCAATGTCCCCGTGCCATGTCCCCCTGTCCCCGTGCAGTTGATTTTCTCTTTCTTTCCGGCCGCGGGGCGCAGGGACAGACGGCCAGCAGTGTAAGGGGACTGGGGGGCACTGGGACAAACTGGGTGGTGGTGGTGGGGTGTCACTGGGAGAGCACTGGGACAAACGGATGGGCACAGGGGCAGATGGGGTATAGGGGAAGGGAACAAGGGGGGGCAAAATGAGGGGGATTTGGGGCCATTGGGATATTTGGGAGGATCGGGGGGGTATTTGGGGGAACCAAGGGAATGTTGGGGCTGGGGGGGGGGGAAGTCAGGATCTAATTGGGGGGATCCCTGAGTTGTACTGGGAAGACGTGATGGGGAGGGTCCTTTTTGGGAGGGGGGGGTGTATATGGGGGTTCCTTTGGGGTATGGGGCAGGGGGAGTCCATGGGAGGGGAAGAGGGATCCTTGGAGGGGGGATGCTGCCTTGGGGGTATTTGGGAGGGGGGAAAACTTGGGGAGAGGGACACTGGGGGGTCCCCTCCCCATGTGGAGCAGGTGGGGACGTGCCTGTTGTCCCCCCCCCCACAGCAGGAGGAGGACGCCGCCCTCCTGGGGCCCCTCCAGCTCTTCCCCCCGAATGGCACCATCGACCTCATGTACTTCCCCTACTACGGCAAGAGAGTGCACGTGAGTGGGGGCACGGGATGGGGGGGCTGGGGCTGGGGCTTGGGGGGGGTCCTGGATATATGGCAGGGGGTGTCCCTGATCCCCTGGAGGTGGCCCCAAACGCTGGTGTCCCCTGATCCCCTTGCGATGCTGATGCCCCCTTGTAGGGTGATGCCCCCTCGTTGGGCTTGGTGATGCTCTGGACCCTTGGCTCACCCTTGGGGCGGGTTTTGGGTGTTAGGGGCGTATTGGGGGGGGGTACCACTCCCACGTCCCCCACCCCCGGGGTGACGCCGTCCCCGCGCTGCAGGTGAACTACACGCAGCCGGTGGTGGCGGTGCAGTTCGCCAACGCCACGGCCAACGTGGAGCACCACGTCGAGTGCCGCCTCAACGCCGCCGGCCTCCGCGCCGACGACGAGCGCGACAAATTCGCCGGCCGCGTCGCCTTCCGCCTGCGCATCAACCGGGATTGAGCCCCCACCACCACCACCAACCTCCCTGCGCCGCCCCCCCACCCCTCGAGCCAGGTCTAACCTCCCCCCCCCCCTTCTGCCCCTCCAGATGCTCCTAATATAAGAATAATAAATGTACATAGATATTTTTTATATTATATATAAATTAAACGGTGTGGTAGGGCCCCGGCTTCTCTCCTCACCCCCAAATGCCCGGGTTTTGCCCCCAGATTTGCCTGTCTTTTGCTTAGGAGCGCCGATGCGGGGCTCGCTTTGGTGGCGGCTGGGTGGTTTTTAGTTTTTTTGGGGGGCTTTGTAGGTAGGTTGGGTGATGTAGGGTGAGGCCAAGATGGCCGCCAGGCTGCCGGCCAAGATGGTCGGCGTTGGTCGTGTGGGCGAGGAGCAAGATGGCACCAGGGTGGCTGCTGTTGAGCTTCGGATGGGATCAGGATAGCGCCAGGCTACCAAGATGGCCAACGTTTGGTTGTGTGGCCAAGATGGCTGTTGTTGGGTCAGTTGAGGCCAAGGTGGCCACCAGGCTGCCGAGGTGGCTGCTGTTGGTTGCTTCAATAAAGGGCAAGATGGCAAACTGTGCTACGGGGCCATCGGTTGGGCTGAAGATGGCTGTTGTGGTACCGAGGTGATCAGCAGTGGTTGTACGAGTAGAGGGCAAGATGGCTGCCGTGGTGGACAGGGATGGAAGATGGCTGCCGTAGGCTGCGTAGGCTGAGGTGGAAGCGTCCTGGGCTTCGTGGACACTGTGGTTGAGCGTTGGTCGGGATCAAGGTGGTGGCCAACGTGGCCAGGTGGCTACCGCCAGCGGTGCAGATAAGCGGCAAGATGGCTGCCACACTAGCCAACATGGCCGCCATGCTAGCCAACATGGCCACCATGGTTGAGTGTCCTTTGATGAAGGGCATGGAGGAAGGCCACGATGACTGCCGTGGTAGAACACAGCCGCTGAGATGGCCGCCGTTGCCCCATGGACGTCCACCCTAGATCCCCATTGCTCATGGCCACCAGGCCCTGGTGGCCATCTTGAACCTGTAGATGTTGGTGGCTATCTTGGCCACCATCTTGAGTTGCACCCAGCCCTGTTGGGCACCCTGGGTCATATGGTGGCCATTTTGGCCAGTGACCCATCTTGGCTACCATCTTGAGTCCCACCTAGCTCTCTTGGGTGGCCATTTTGCCTGGTGTCCACCTTGGCCACCATCTTGTAGCCCCTTCCTCCCCCCACTAACACCCCCTCTGCGCTGAGCCCTCCCCCTCCCACCCCAGCAGGGCGCGTCCCTTCATTCTGGGGGGAATCGAACGGATTTTGGGTCCACGGGAGGTGAAAGTTTGGGGGGCGTGGATGGGGAGGAACCCCCCCTCCGTATTAAACCTGTGGTTTTTGGTGGAAATAGCTGCTTTTTTTGGTGGTTTTGTTTGGGCCCGGTCTGCCTGGGGCTGCTCAGGGGGTGGTAATTAGGCCACAGTGGGGGTGGGGCCGCTAATGAGCCTGACGAGCTCGTTAGGGAGACGCTGCCAGGGCCGGGTGCCCAGGCACTTGGGTCCCCCCCCCCCCCCCCCCCCGTGTCCCCAGCCTCGGTGGCCTCATTCATGATGAGGCTGGGGGGGGCGGGGCCATGGTGTTGACGTCATTGGGGGGCAAGAAAGGGGGGAGACACCAAAATCGCCCGATTTGCCCCCAAAATACTTCTGCTCCCCCGCACGCCCCCCCAGTTGGCAGAGTACAATAAAGACCCCCATAATTAACACCCTGTCACCCCCCTTAATTAGACCCCTAATTAAGAGCCCCCCCATTAATGTCTTAATTAAAGAGATTTAATTAACAAATTGAATTAATTGAAATTTAATTTCCATTAATTAATGCTCAATATTCCGTAGTTAACAGCCCCCCCAATTAACGACCCACCACCTATGGACAACCCCCTACAATTGACAGCCATCAAAGATGACCCCCAATTAATGGCTCCTAATTAACACCCATTAACTCCTCCCTATGAAGACCCTCCAATTACCCCAATTAAATGCCTCCAAAATGACCCCCAAATTAATCACCCCCAATTAACAACCAATTAACAGGCTCCCGATGATATCTGAAATGAGAGCCCCCCCATTACCAGCTTCTAATCAATACCCCCAATTAACACTCGCCATTAGCACCCCTAATTGTTGGCTGTTAATTACGGCCCCATTAACGGTCCTTCACTAAATACCCCAAATGAGTGTCCCCCCCCATTAGCAGTCACAAATCAAGGCATTAATTAGCACCCCTAATTAACTCCCAATATTCAGAGCCCCCAATAACCCCCCCCATTTAAATCCCCCGAAGCTGCCCCCCCCCCCACTGACCTCCCCCAAGGCACCTCCAATTCACAGCCTCTAATTAACCACCCAATTAACTCCCCCCCAATAATTACCCCCAAATAAATATCCTTAATTAACACTCCCCATAGTTACCCCACTTTATAGCCTTCTGAATTAGCAGCCCCCCCTAATTATCAGTTCCCCATAGATATTGACAATTACCCCCCCCATTACCCCCCCCGGTGATCACCCCCCCATTGATACCCTCTAATTAAGTTGACCCCCCAATTAACCCCAATTATCCCCCCCAAACCCTCAATTAACAACCCAACATTACCCCCCCCGTTATCACCTCCCTCTCATACCCCCCCCAATTTAACAACTCCCCCATTAATTCCGATGGAGCCCCCCCAAATTACTCCCCCCATAGCCCCCCCCAAATGAGGCCCCCCCAATTAACACCCCCAGTTGCCAGCCCCTCCCCCCCGTGACCCACATCGCGCTGGGGGGGGGGGGGGCCGCAAATCCCCCCTGATCCCCCCCTAATCCCGGCGGCAGCCAGATGGTGACCCCCCCCCGACCCCCCCCACCCCCCCCGCAGGTCCCGGGGGGGGATGGGTGCGGGGGGGCTGTGGGTGCCCCCCCCACGTCCCAAGGTCACCTCAAGGGGACCGAGGAATTTTCCAGGCTGAGCCTTGGCAGGAGCCGGCCCTTGGAGGGGGGGGAAGAGAAGGGGGGGGACACATCCCAACCCCCCCCCATACTGAGACCTCCTCGTGCTCCCCAAAATGGGGCCCTTAATCCCCCCCCCCAAAAAATGGGATCCCTAAATTGCCCCCCCGCCACTACCCAAACCGGGGATGTCCCCAAGCTGCTCCCCCCTTGTGCTATTTACTGGGAGCCCCCCCCCCCCAAACTGGTACCAGACCCCGAACTGGGACCCCCCCCCAGTAATGGGGAGCCATAAAAGGACCCCCCCCCCCCAAATAAAGTAACACATTCTGGGGGACCCTACCCCAGTTCACCCTCCCCTCCCCCCAGAGCCCTGTAATGGGGAACCCAAACTGGGACCCCCCCCCCCCCCAAAATACCCTATAGTGGGGAACCCCAAACTGGGACCCCCCCCCCAATGGGGAACCCCAAACTGCTCCCTGCCGCAGGGGAACTGTAAACTGGGACCCCCCCCAAAATACCCTATAGTAGGGGACCCCAAACTGGGCTCCCCCCAGTGGAGAACCCCTAAATGCCCCCACCCCCCCCCAGTACCCCATACTGGGACCCTACCCACATAACCCATACTGGGGAACCCAAACTGGGAGCCCCCCAGTGGGGAACCCCAAAATGCCCCCCCCCCACGGGAACTGTAAACTGGGACCCCCCCCAAAAATACCCTATACTGGGGGACCCCAAAATGGGATCCCCCCCATATCAGGGAACCCCAAACTGGGATCCCCCCAGTACCCCATACTGGGACAACTGGGGAGTCCCTCCCCATAACCCTATAGGGGGGACCCCAAATCCCCCCCCGCCCCCCCCAACAACCCCCGGGGGGGCGGTACAAAAAGTTTTATTCTAAAAAAAATCCATCGCAAAGGGGCGGGGCTAACGCGAAGGGGGCGGGGCTTAAAAACGAAGGGGGCGTGGCTTAGCGCAGGGGCGTGAGGGGTGAATGGGGCCAGGGTGAATGGGGGGTTGGGGTGGGGGCGGGGCTTGGGGCGGCAGGGGGCGGGGCTTGGGGCGGCAGGGGGCGGGGCTAGGCGGGGCTTGGGGGCGTGGCCAGCACGGGGGGCGTGGTCAGTCGGAGTCCGGGGGCTCCCCCTTGAGCAGCAGCTTCTTCCCGGAGCGGGGCAGCGGCCCCTCCCCCCGCGGGCGGTGCCCCTTCGACCTGGGGGGGGGGCGGAGGGGGGTCAGGGACCCCTACCCAAATTCCTATAAAATTTCTACCCCCCCCCCCCCGGCCCCCAAAAGTGACCCACACGTCCCCAAAATGAGCCACAAGTCCAGGACCCCCCCCCTCTCCCCCCCGGAAGACCACCCCCCAGGGACCCCTGTGCCCACCCCCCCCAACCCGAAGGTATTGATGACCCCCCCCCCCTTCCTCCCCCCCCCTACGGTGTTGCTGACCACCCCCCCCCACTAACCCCTGTTTCTCCTCTCCCAAAATGTGTCGTTCTCCCCCCCCCCCCCAACAGGGGACCTCAACTCCCCCCCCCGGTGTGTTGGTGACCCCCCTGCCGGGGAACACCCTCCCTAAGTGTGTCCCCACCCCCCAAAAGACCCAAGTATCTGGGACCCCCCCCCCCCCCCAAAAAAAAACCCCACACCTCTGGATTCCCCCCAAGGACCACAGCTCCCCTGCAGGTACCCATGTCCCGTCCCCCCTCCCCCAAGGTGCCCATGTGCCCCCTCCCCAAGTGTGTGCCCCCCCCCTCCAGTGACCCAGCCGCCCCCCCTGCCCCCCCCTCCCCCAACTCACGGCCGTGGCGCCGCCCCCTCCTCGGCCATCTGCAGGGCGTCGTTGATCTCCTTCAGCATCTCGTAGCGGCGGCGGCCGCGCACCTTTGGGGGGGGGGCACACAGGGTCCGGGCTGGGGTCCAAACCCTGCCCCCAGCGACGCCCCCCACCCTTTAACTCCCCCCCAACCACCCCCCCAGGACCCCCCCCCCAGACCCTATCACCACAACCCCCCTCCTCCCCATCCTTCCCCCAACCCAGGAGCCTCAGTTACCCATGGGACTCCCGGGCTGCCCCCCCCCCCTGCTAATCCATGAGCCCCCCCCTCCCAACCCAAACCACCCCCAGGACCCCCCCAGCCCCCACCTGCAGGCAGAAGATCTCGTTGTCGGGGTTCAGCACCCGCTTCTTGGGGGTCTCCGGGGCCTTGGTGGGGGGGGACAGGGCTGGGGGGGGGGGGGGGGCAGAAAGGGCTGGGACCGGTGCCAGGGGGGGCCCCATTGGCCTGGGGGGGGCCCCAGTACCTGGGGGGGGTCCCCAAAGGCCTGTGGGTGGTCCCCAGAGGCGAGGGGGGGGTCCCATTGCCCAGGGCAGGTCCCCACCGCCCCCTCCCTGCAGGCCCTGCCCCTCAAAGCCCCACCCCCGGGCAACTTGACCCCCCCCCCAATTAGCCACGCCCCTTTCCACCTGACCACGCCCCCTCTCATAGCCCCGCCCCAAACCACCTGCATTGCTCCACCCCCAGCACTTAGCCCCGCCCACACCTCCAACAAACCACGCCCCCTTTGCCTGGCCCCGCCCCCAGCCCTCCCCAGCCACCCAATCCCTGCCCTCCCATCGCTAGACCCCGCCCCCCAGCCGCCAAAGCCCCGCCCCCCATCCGCCAGGCCCCGCCCCTCACCTCGCTTGGCCCCGCCCCCGGCCCCGCCCCTCTTGCGGAAGTTCTCCTCCTCGATCTTGCGGTCCCGGCCGGGGCAGGCGCACACCCGCACCTCAAAGCAGCGGCGCCCCAGCAGCTGCCCCCTGTGCCCCCCAAAAATAGTGCCTGGGGGGGGGCTCTGAGCACCTGGACCCCCCCCGGGACCCCCCCGACCCTGGAACCCTCCAGAGACCCAGCCACGGACCCCCCCTCCCCTCCCAAGACCCCCAAATTCCTGCCCCTAAATCCCTCCCCCAAGGTGGGATGAGGTTTTGGGGACCCCCCCATGAGCCCTCCCCCCCAATTGGACTCATGCAAGGACACCCCCCCAAAGACCCCCCCCAGTATACGGGGAACCACACAGCCCCCCCCCAAAAAACAGGCATTTTGGGGCATCCCCCTCAAACCCATCTATTTTGCGGGACCACCCCCAACCAGGCATTTTGGGGCCCCCTCAAACCCCAGATATTTTGGGGTGACCCCCCAAACCCCATCTATTGTGGGGCACCCCCCCCAACCCCATCTATTTTGGAGTGCCCCCCCCAAACCCCATCTATTTTGGGGCACCCCCCGCAACCAGGCATTCTGGGGCTCCCTCAAACCCCAGATATTTTGGGGTGACCCCCCCCCCCCCCAAGCCCCATCTATTGTGGGCCCCCCTCCCACCCAAACCAGGCATTTTGGGACTCCCCCCCAAACCCCATCTATTTTGGGGTTCCCCCAAACCCCAGATATTTTGGGGTGCCCCCCCTCAGACATTTTAGTGCTCCCCCCCTCAACCCCAAGCACTTTGGGGCTCCCCCCCCCAACTCAAACCCAGGCGTTTTGGGGCTCCCTTCCAAACCTCAGATATTTTGGGGTGACCCCCCAAACCCCAGATATTTTGGGGTGCCCCCCCCAACTCACCCCGGCCCCTCCAGCGTGATGATGGCGAGGATGGGGCGCCGGTTCATGCCCCCCATGCAGGAGCTGTTGCACATGAAGCTGTACAGCACCGTGGTGCAGTCCGAGCCCACCTGGGGGGGGGGGGGACACAACAGCATCGGGGGGGGGTGAGTACACCCCAACCCCCCCCCCAAAGCCCCCAAAGCCCCCCAACCCTGCCCTAAGCCCCCCAACCCTGCCCCAAGCACCCCAACCCTGCCCTGAGCTTCCCAAACCCACCCTGAGCACCCCCCCCACAAAAAAAAAAAAAGGAGCATCCCATAAATTGCCCCCCACCCAAGAAACACCCCAAAACACCCCGAATCCTGCACTCCCCCCCCGAGCTGCCGCCCCCCCCCTCCAGCCCCCCAAAAAGCCCCCCAAGAACCTCCAGATGCCCCCAGGGGGGGCAGAGGGGAGGCCCAGGGAGGGGTTATTTGGGATGGGGGGGGCGTTTGGGAGCTGGGGGGGGGGATTGGGGGTGCCTGGGGGGGTTTTTTGGGGGCAGGGGGGGGTTTGGGGTACCTCGGGGGGCTCGTAGGGCACGGCGACGCTGTGGCGCTTGGTGGTCTCGTCGTCGTGGTACCGCGCCTGGGGGTTCCCCTCCACCCGGATCAGGTGCTGGGCGGGGGCCAGGCCTGGGGGGTGGGCGACGGGGGGGGGGGCATCAGCCCACAGCCCCCCCCCCCACAGCACCAATTACCCCAACTTCTCCCCCTAAAGCCCCCCACCCGGTCCCAATTCCCCCAGCATCTCCCCCTGGGATCCCCCCCCCCAGTGACCCTGCAGGACCCCATCACCCCCAGACCCAGTTCCCTCAATGCCCCCCCCCCCCCCCCAAACCTCCTTCATCCCCACCCCCATTCTCCCAAGGACCCCCCCCAATCATCCCCAAACCCAATTCCCCCCCCAATTTTTCCCTGCCCCCCCCAATCACTCCCATAGCCCCCCCAATCCCCCCCAATTTCCCCCGTGCCCCCCCCCAAGGACCCCCCAAATCACCCCCAAACCCAACTCCCCCCATACCCCTGACCCCCCCAACCCCCCCAAGGACCCCCATAATCCCAATTTCCCCCATACCCCCCCCCAAAGACCCCCCCCAATTTCCCCCATACCCCTCCAAGAACCCCCCCAGTCACCCCCAAACCCAACTCCCCCCATACCCCTGCCCCCCCCCCGACCCCCCCAACCCCCCCAAGGACCCCCCCAATCCCAATTTCCCCCATATCCCCCCCCAAAGACCCCCCCCAATTTCCCCCATACCCCTCCAAGAACCCCCCCAATCACCCCCAAACCCAACTCCCCCCATACCCCTGCCCCCCTCCTGACCCCCCCAGCCCCCCCGTGCCCCCCCCACTCACCGTCGGTGCCCTCCCCATTTCGCTCGTGGTGGGGGCAGCGCCGCACCACCTCGGCCACGTGCTCCGACTTCTTGTAGACGGCCACGGCGCGCAGCACGGCCCCCGGGGGGGGCGCGGCCCCCACCCGCACCTGCACCGGGCAGGGCTTGGCCAGGCGGCAGTACAGCTTGTTCAGCACCGGTGAGTACTGGGGGGGGGGGGGGGCACGGGGGGGGCACGGAGTCACCCCCGGGACCCCGCCAAAGCGTGTCCGTGCCCCCCCCAGAACCTGCTACGAACCCCCCCCTAAATAACTGAGACCCCGCCCCCGAAATAATAGGGACCCCCCCCCCCCCCGGTGCGTAAGGACCCTAAAAATATAGGGACCCAGCTAGGACCCCCCCCCCCAATTAATGGGCCCCCCCCCAAGACCCCTGAAGACTGCCCCTCACAAACCCATTTGGGACCCCCCCAACCTTTATGGGGTCTCCCCCAATGACTTGGGACCCCACTCAGGACCCCCCCCCCCAACCCCCCAAAAGCCCCCGAGCCCCCCCCCAAACAACTCCAGCCCCCCCCAGGCCCCTCCCCACCTCCCTCCTCCCTCCCCATTTCACCCCTCCCGCTGACCAGGACCCCTTTATGGGGTCTCCTGGATGACCCCACAACCCCATAAACCCCCCCCAAAAGATCTTGCCCCTCCCTGTACCCCACCCAAACAACTCCAGCCCCCCCCAAACAACTCCAGCCCCCCCCAAACAACTCCAGCCCCCCCCAGCCCCCCCCCCACCTCCCACCTCCCTCCCCATTTCATCCCTCCCACTGACCGGGACCCCTTGTGGGACCCTTATGGGGCCTCCTGGGTGACCCCACAACCTCCCCCAAAGATGCTGCCCCCCCCGTGCCCGCCCCCCCCTACAACTCCAACCCCCCCCAAACAACTCCAGCCCCCCCCCAGGACCCCCCCACCTCCCACCTCCCTCCCCATTTCCCCCCTCCCACTGATTAGGACCCCCTGTGGGACCCTTATGGGGTCTCCTGGGTGACCCCACAACCCTGTAACCCCCCCAAAAAAATCCTGGCCCCCCCCTTGTGCCCCCCCCCCCCGGCCACGTACGGTGCAGGTGACGGATTTGGCGGTGCCGGTCTCCTGGAAGCCCAGCTGGAAGTCGTAGTGGCCCCCGTAGTCCTCAGTGGACGGCACCATGGAGGACGGGGACGCCCGGGGGGGCTCGGGGGGAGCCGCCGGGGGGGGCTCGGTGCTGGGGGGGGGCCCAGGAGGGGGCTCGCTTGGCTCCAGGGGGCACAGGTCCTGCTGGGGAGGGGGGCAGGGGGCAGCCTTGGGGGCACCCCAATGGCAGGGGACCTCGTGGGGAGGCCCGGATCCCTTTTTGGGGTCATTCAGGACCCTTTTGGGGCACCCAGGTCCCCTTTTGGGGTCATTCAGGACCCATCTGTGTGCCAGGGTCCCTTTTTTGGGGACACCCATGTCCCTTTTGGGGTCATTCAGTACCCTTATTGGGGTCACCCAGGTCCCTTTTGGGGTCACCCAGGTCCCCTTTTCGGGACTTCCAAGCCCCTTTTTGGGGTCATCCAGGTCCCTTCTGGGGTCATTTTGGGGACAGCTTGGTGCCAGGGTTCCTTTTGGGGGACACCCAGATCCCCTTCTGGGGTCATCCAGGTCCCTTTTGGGGCACCCAGGTCCCTTTTTGGGGTCATTCAGGACCCTTTTGGGGACATCCAGGTCCCTTTTGGGTGCCAGGGTCCCCTTTTCGGGATATCCAAGCCCCTTTTTGGGGTCATCCAGGCCCCTTTTGCGGGCAACTAGGTGTCAGGGTCTCTTTTTGGGGTCATCCAGGTCCCTTTCTGGGGTCATTCAGGACCCCTTAGGATGCCAGCGTCCTTTTTTTTGGGGACACCCATGTCCCTTTTTGGGGTCACCCAGGTCCCTTTTTGGGGTCATTTTGGGGACAGCTAGGTGCCAGGGTTCCTTTTGGGGGACACCCAGATCCCCTTCTGGGGTCATCCAGGACCCTTTTGGGGCACCCAGGTCCCTTTTTGGGATCATTCAGGACCCATTTGGGTGCCAGGGTCCCTTTCTTGGGGACATCCAAGCCCCTTTTTGGGGACACCAAGGTTTCTTTTGGGGGACACCCAGATCCCCTTCTGGGGTCATCCAGGCCCCTTTTGGGGCACCCAGGTCCCTTTTTTGGGACATCCAAGCCCCTTTCTGGGGTCATCCAGGCCCCTTTTGCGGACAACTAGGTGTCAGGGTCTCTTTTTGGGGTCATCCAGGTCCCTTCTGGGGATGCTCAGGTCCTTTTTGGGGTCATCCAGGTCCCTTCTGGGGATGCTCAGGTCCCTTCTGGGGTCATTTTGGGGACAGCTAGGTGCCAGGGTTCCTTTTGGGGAACACCCAGATCCCCTTCTGGGGTCATCCAGGACCCTTTTGGGGCACCCAGGTCCCTTTCTGGGGTCATTCAGGACCTGTTTGGGTGCCAGGGTCCTTTTTTTGGGGACAACCAAGTCCCTTTTTGGGGTCATCCACGACCTTTTTGGGGACACCCAGTTCCCTTCTGGGGTCATTTTGGGGACAGCCGGGTGCCTTGGCCCCTTTTGGGAAGAACCCACAACCCCGGCTGCTTTTTTGGGGGGGGACCCCTGGAAATCCGGGACCCCATTGGGGTCACCCAGGTGCTGGGGTCCTTTGGGGACACCGGGACCCCCCCTTGGGGACACCAGGACCCCCCCCCACTTACCACAGCCAGCGGATCGTCAGGGGGGGACAGCGAGTGCATGTTATCAGGCAGCCTGGGGGGGGGGCGGGGGGACAATAAGGTCACCGGGTGGCGCCCCCCCATCCCTGTCACCCCCCCCCTGTGTCCCTGTCACCCCCCCGTGCCCCCCCCTGCCCCCACTCACATGTTCCAGAGCTCGAGGAAGATTTCGGGGGGCTCCAGCAGCGGCTCCAGCTCCTCCGCCATGGGGGCGGTCCCCAGGGGGGGCACTGGGGTCCCCTACGGGGGGGGGGGGACACAGAGGGGACGGCGCTGTCACTGGGGGGGGACATCTGGGGGTCCCCTGTAATGGGGGGGGCACCCAGATCGCCTTGGGGGGGGGGGCATCTGGGTCTTTGGGGGGAAATTTGGGGGAGGGGGGAGCCTCAAGGCCCTCCCCTTCCCAGTTATGGCTGCACAAATGGGGGGGGCTGACCAGTATGGGCCAGTTTGGGCCCCCCCCAGCCCTGCGGGGGGGTGGGAGCAGCTGGACCCCATAAAGGGACCCCAAAAGGACCCCCCCCATACACAGGACCCCATGGGGACCCCTCCCCATATGAGGGCCCCAAAAGGACCCCCCCCAAAGAGGGACCCCAAAGAGACCCCCCCACAAAAAGGGACCCCAAAGAGGGACCCCATGGGAACCTCCCCCCAAACAGGGATCCCAAAAGGACCCCCCCCCCATTGAGGAGACCCTAAAGAGACCCCCCCCACCCAAACAGGGACCCCAAAGAGACTCCCCCATAGAACGACCCCAAAAGGTCCCCCCCCACACAGAGACCCCAAAAGGACCCCCCCCACAGAGGGACCCCGGCTGTGAGGACCCCAAAAGGTCCCTGTTGCCCCCCCCCCCAAAATACCCCCTTGCACCCCCCCTCAACCACCCCAGGAGCCCCCGCACCCCCCCCCCCCTCAGCCCAAGGCCCCCCCAAAAAACCTCCAGGAGGGGCTGTGGGGGGGTCCCCCCAACCCCCCAGCATCTCACAGCCCCCCCCAACCCCCCCTCCCCACCCCCACCCCCCCACTCCCGGCCCCCCCCCCAAAAAACCACAGGCCTGGGGGGGGGAGGGGGGCTCAATACAGGGCCCCTGCAACGCCCCCCGCGCCCGGGACCCCCCCAGGGGGGGTGCCCCGAGGTTCCCCGTGCCCCCCCCGAGCCCCCACCCCCCCGGCACCCCCCCAGCCCCCCCTCCGAGCCCCCTCCGGGCCCCCCCGGCCCCCGCCACCTCCGTTCACGGCGCCGCCGCCTCCGCTCCACGCGCTGGGGATTCCCCTGCCCTCAGCAGGCGCCGCCCTGAAGCCGCGCCCGCCATCTTGGGTGAGGGCAAAGGGCCGGGCAGCGCTGGGAGATACCAAGTGGGGGGGGGAGGGGTTCCCCTTTTAATTAATAGTCATTAATAAGGGCGCAGAGAGTCCTTATTACACTGCCGCTGCCAGCCGTACACTGCCGCTCCCAGCCGTGGCCGGGTTTGCTTCCCTAGCCCTGTTGCGGGATACTGGGAGCACTGGGGGATACTGGGAGCACTGTGGACTCCCCCCCCCCCCCCCCCGCCCCCTGAGGTGTCCCAGTGCCACCAGTAACGGGTTTCAAGGGAGTGCTGGAGGGAACTGGGAGCCCCCCTCAAGCATCCCTGTGGGATCCCAGTTACACCAGCACAGTGGGTTAGGGGTACTGGGAGCACTGGGGTCTCTCTCACACATCTCTTGAGAGTCCCAGTCACACCAGTAAGGGGGTTTGGGTGCTGCTGGGGGGCACTGGACTTGCCCCTGTCCGTCTTCCTGGGGTTCCAGTTGCACCATTAGGAGTGTTTGAGGGCACTGGGAGCACTGGGGTCCCCCTCACTCATCCTTTCACTGTACCAGTCACACCAGTAGGTGGGGCTGGGGGCTCCTGGGGGGCATGGGGGACACCCTTATCCCTCAATTTGGGGGTGCCCCCCACTGCCACCCCCTTGCCATGTCACCCCAATGTGGACCGCAAGACTTTGGATGGTGAAACTGGGAGCCTTGGACCCTTAAGATGGGGCCTGGACGCTAAAAGGTTTGGGGTCCTAAAAATGAGGGTCTGGGCCCTTAAAATGTGGCTGTGAGTGCTCAGACAGACACTTTGAAATCCCAAACCAAAAACTGGGACTGTGGACCCCACCGTGGTGCTTTGGGGCCCTGAAATGAGGATTTGGGTCCTACAATGAGCCCTTGCTCCCTCAGAGGTCCCATTATACCCTAAAAATGAGGCCATGCCTGCTTCAAAGAGGGCTTGGGGCTTACTGTGGAGATTCACCCCCAGAAATGGGACTCTGTGCCCTAAATAGAGGGGCTTGGGCCCTGAAGAGAGGGGTTTGGCCCTGAAGAGAAGGGCTTGGGCCCTGAATAACAGGGTTTTTTGCCCTGAAGAGAACAGTTTGGGCCCTAAAGAGAAGGTCTTGGGCCCGAAAAAGAAGGGCTTGGGCCCTAAAAATTGGGGCTTAGGCCCTGAAGAGAGGGGTTTGGGCCCAAAAGGGAGGGATTTGGGCCTGAAGGAGAAGAAGGGTTTGGGCCCTAAAGAGAAGCTTCTGGGCCTTCGAGAGAAGGGTATCAGCCCTCAAAAAGGGCTTTGTGCCCTGAAGAATGTGTTTTTTTATCCTGAAGGGAAGGGTTTGGGCCCTAAAGAGAAGAAGGGCTTGGGCTTTAAAGATCAGGGTTTGGGCCTCAGAGAGGCCCAAACTCTGCCCTTTGGGCAGTTTGGGGTTCGGACCCATAAAGGAAGCTTTGTACTCTTACAATGGGGTGGTGGACACTCAAATGTGGCTTTGAGTTCCAAAACGAAGGCTTTGGGCCCTCAGAAAGGGGCTTGGGGCATTAAAAACGGTGCTTTAGGTGAGTGCTATGGGGCCGCTGCCCAGAGCAGCCAAAGTACTGGTATGCCATCAGCACCGCTCAGGGCACAAATCCGGAATTGCACCACAAGGGCCTCTGTGACGAAGATTAACCCTAATTAATTATCCCTGCCAGGGTGAAATAAATAAACTGCACCACACAAGTCCCATTCCTGCCCCTTCAGCATCTGCAGCCGCCTGCCCCAAGTCAGCCGGGTGCAAATCCTTGTTTATAAGCACTGCCTTGTCATGTCCCTTGTCAGTGGACAGAGGGCAGCATGTCCCACGGCCTCTGGCCTCTGTCTTTCTGCTCCCTGGCATAACAGCCTGGACCTGGGCACCTGGAGAGTGATCCCTGTGCCGTGGGTTGGGAACCAGCTCCTGCTGGATGCCCCAGAGCTCCATCCTGCCCGAGCGTGCTTCAGCTGCGCAGCACGTACCTGCAGCTGTGTCCTGAATCTTTCTCATCTCGGCTCCAACAGCCTTTGATCTCTGCTCAGACATGGAAACTGCTACTAAAACCAGCAAGGAGGTTTTCTCCTCTCTCTTCGTGTCCATTTGTGACGTGTCTGTGCCGTGTAGTACTGGAAATGAATTTGAACACACACCCCAATTGTTTCTGGGTTTTACTTTTTGAGATACTGCTTCCATAGTTCCAAGATCTCAGCTTGTGTGGGGGGTCTGTCCTCTCCCAGGCGCCTTGCTCTTGACGGTTCGGACACCAACGTCTTGGATGTACCGTCCAGGGTGGGCAGCAGCAGGGAGGTGTTATAGCGAGGCCTCCGGGGCAGGCTCTCCTCAGAACTCGGTGATGATACGACGATTGTAGGGAGTCTCTTTGCAGCTGGAGGTCTCAAAGGGAGAGGCAGCTTCTTGGAGCTTGTCTTTGTTGGAATCTTTGGCAGTCCACCAGCATGGAGGACTGTGTCCACTCCTCGCTCTTCTCCAGTGAGCCCCGGAGTTGTCGCTGCCCACACTCGGTCCATCCCTCGTGTTCCGTTTCTGGCTGTGAGTTTGTCCTGGACTTGGCTGACCAAAGGCTGTTTTTTGGCAGGAGGCAGCCCTGGGATTGCTGGCAGCTGGCTGAAAACACATCAAAAAAGACTGCATGAGCACACGATGGCACTGGGGCCGCATCCTGCACCCTGAAAACGTGACCCTGCTTGCATACCACCGGCCCCATCCACCCCTCCGGGTGCTGCTTTCAGCACTGCGGGGCACCCCCAGCCCGCAGTGTTTGGGCTGGGCGAGGGGCTCCCTGCTGGGGAGAAGACAACCGTGAGCCTCTGGCCTCACCTGATCCCAGATTCCTTCTTGTCCTCCTGTGCTGTTTCCTTCAGCCTTTGGAGCTCGTGTTTCGGGATACTCGCGCGCACGGTGAAAGGCATGTCGAGCAATCCCCCTGAGGCTGGAAAGGACGGACATGGTCAGAAGTGGGGTGCTGCTGCTGCCGACATCGGTCCCAGGGGGGTGCATAGGGTCTAGGATCCCCATCCTCCTGCCTTCCCCATGCACAGGCACTGTGGCCACTTCCCATCCCAGGGCTCAGTTTTGGGGAAGCCACCAAGAAAGATGTGGGGACAACAGGCTGTGCCCAGCTGGCGGGCAGAGTTTTGGGGCAGGCTGGAGCCTTGGGAGCACCCACACCAGGGCATGAGCCCACTGGATCCCAAAACTGGGCCACCCGTGCCACGGGAAGGAGCCGGCCGCTGCTTTACCTTTCTTGCCCTGGCTGAGAGGTGGCAAGACCCCGTCCTTCTTCTTTTTCTCCTTCCCAGGGAGTTTCTCTGGGGCCTTGGATGATTTCCTGTATGACGATTTGGGCACCAACTCCACTGCAAACCTGCACGCAAGGAGAGGACCCTGGTGTGACATTCGGCACGAGCTGCCCTTTCTGCTCTCTGTCGTCGCCTGCTCATGGGCACGTTTTCACATTCCATAGAGGCTGCTTTTGGCCAAATGGTACCAAAAAGGAGCTGAGCAGCTGCACTGAGCAGCCAACGTTGCAAATATACTTACTCGGGGAAGATGACGACACGGCCAGAGGATGTCAGGGAGGCTATGACTGCCAGCCGGGACACCACGGTGTCCATCAGCTGCGGGACCTGCAGGGGGGAGAACAGAGGTGGGAGAATATCCCTGGTGGGGGGGATCCCAAGATCCCAGAGCGGGCAGGACCGTCCCTTTGGCCTGGCCTGAGCCATTCCGACATGCTTTCGGATTGCCTGGAGCAAAACAAAGCCCCTCACCTTCAAAACGGCATTCTGAAGGTCCTCCTTGCCACACAGCATCTCCAGGACGTCGTAGTAGAATTTCATCTCCACCCTGGTGCCTTCTATGAGGAGCACGCCCAGGTCCCTCAGGACGAGGGCGACGTTCTCCCCCTCCCGCAGGCACTGGGAGATGAGGGCCATGGTGCCTCGGATGCAGCTCTCAGCTTTCTGCCAGGACACGCAGGCGTCCGCCGCCACCTCGGCACGTCTCAGGGGCTCCAGCTTCTTGTGGGCTGGAAAACCACACGGGATGGATGTTGTTAGGCACCCGGCAGCCTTTCATGCATCTCCCCCACGTGCTGCTTGTTGCAGCCATCACCCGAATTGCCCCAGCTTTGGGCTGGCTCCGTGGCTTGGCTTTTGAGCACGGAGGCCATGCCCCACATGCCCCGGCCGTGCAGCCAGCAAGGTTTCATCCAGCGCCTTACCTGGCAGGCTGCCGTTGCTGTCCTCAAGGTGGTGTGTGTTTATGAGGTTCGTGGCCAGGTGAAACACTGGCCACTGGAAAATCATCGCCTTGTCCCCAGCTTGGATCCGTTTCTGGATTATATCGAAGGAGCCCAGAGTGGGGATTCGGACGCCCTGCGAGTGGAAGGGAAGGGGCAAAGGGTGAGGACAGGCCGGAGGAAGAGCTGGAGGTGGCCCCATTCCAGTCCTTTCCCTCCCCTTGCCCTTCCGAAAACGCTCTGCTGCAGTCAAGGCAGAAGCAGCCTGAGGGGACCCAGGGGCCTCCAATGACTGGGATCGGCCCTGAGACACGACACCACCTACCACAAGGGATACCGTGCCTGCGTGGTGCCTGTCAGCCCCTCGGTGGGGACTTTTGGGGTGAGTTCCCTGCTTTCCGGGGAGGGGAAGGGTCACTACAGCCCGTGGCCCCGAGCTGTGGGGACTCCCCTGACTTGGAGAAGCCAAGCAGAGAAGTTGGACTCGGCGCCGACCCACCTTGTATTGCAGGAGCTGCTGCAGCACGTAGTTGGCCACCGCATTCCAGACGTCTGTTTGCTCTGGAAAGCAAAGGAAAACCTGGTCACAGTGTGTCTGGTGGTCCCACACCTCCAGCAGCACCCCGAGACCCGATGTTTGGTGCCTGCTCACGCTGGGTCTGGTGGTCCCACAGCTCCAGCAGCATCCCCAGAGCCGGGGTTCGGTGGCAGATGAAAAGCCCCAGCGGAGACACCCCGGGATGGCTCCGCCACTGGGTCTCGCCCAAGGAAAGCCCCAAATGTGGTTGCCAACAC